TAGACATTTCTCAGTGATTTCCCAGATATTGTATCGATTTCCAATTAATTTAAACCCCAGCGACCGAAAGCAGAAGATAATATAGTATCAGATCAATTAATTGGAACAAATTGAAGATCAGTTATATACAGTGCTACAGTGAAATGCAGTGAAGTGTTTGATGACATACTTTCGTGCTAAATTCACTGCCATTAAATTTATACAAGATACAATTATACTCTGCTCATTTTTTTTCGTAAATATTACAGCTTCCGTCCGAGGACGGGAAAAAGGCGAGTTACTTCTATAATCACACAGGAATGTCTGTCCTTAACGCTCGTGACGTCACTCCACATCGACCAGCCCCCCGTCATTAATAATCATGAACAGGTTACGTCCGCCACATGGACCCCCCCCATCATTCATAATCATGTGACGTACTCCATATGGAGCACCCTCCCCCCTCATTAATAATCATGAGCAGGTGACGTAACTCCACATCTAACAGCCCCCCTCATTACTAATCATTAACAGGTGACGTCCTCCAAATGGACACCCCCTCCCCCCATTCATAATAATTAGCGGGTGACGTCACTCCACATGGGGGGCCGAGGCGCCTCCTCCCCCCTCCTCGGCGTCAACTCACAACCCTCACTACAAAGGCAGAACCCTCGCGTCACGCGATCTCCGTAACGATGTTGTTGAGACATCGAAGTAAAAAGAACGTCATGATGAACAAGGGATTATAACCTTTACATGAAATAAGTCTGTGTCACCGCGCCTTTACAAATTGCACACGAATGGATGCAATGGATATATCACGTCGCGGTTTGCTTTCCGCTTGCAAGTTTCAGATTTACTGCAATACACCCGTCCTTGGACGGGCAAAAGGCTAGTATCCCATATTTGTCAACCAGCTGCAAGCAATTAAAAATACTGTCTCCAGCGACTATCGACCCTCCACCCGTGAAAAGTTACACCGATGGTCTCTCGCCTGGTGATTCGGTGAAACTGGGATCTCAGTATGTCGAACTTTTTTTGCACCGTACGTATCCAACTGTGCTAATCGGAGGTGTCGCTGACACTGGCGCAGGGCACTGAGACAGTGTCACAGTGATCCCAGATTCAAAACAAGTGGATGGTCTCAGCCTGGTCACCAATTACTGTTCTAAAAAAAACAATGTTTTCACTTATTAGTCACTCGCATGGCGTTGGAGAGATAAGCAACTCATTTTATTAACATAAATTAAAGTTAAATATCTATATCTAGGTTCTTTATCCATTCAACGGCATTGGCTGCGAGCTGGTGGATTGCTGTGGTGCAGCCGCTCAATGCTCTTGATGGGACTGCGAGTAGCTGACCGTGTGCCCCATTGTTTGTGCCACTGCGCAGTGACAGGTAGAACTGGATTTTACCTGCCACGTGCGTAGATGAGAGCATCGGCACCATAACCGACACGGTGTGATGACAAAAGGCTGCACATTATTCTTTATATACAATTCTTACACTTTTTCTCCTCCACCACCACCACCACCACAAATGGACAGGCTAATTCTCCAATATTTCCCATGAGAAATGTGAAAAAAATATTAATCGTGCAGGCTCCAGCGTTTATTTGTGTAATTGAGCCAACAATGCAATGAAAGTAGATACAGGACGTTGTCCCGAAATTAGTTTAACCCTTTACCTGCTTTGAGAGCTGAATAGCAATAAAATAAACCTTGAAAGGTTGCTTACCCACCCCAAGACAAGGGCAGTTGCACAAGTGAGAGGTGCGCAGTGGGCTATGTAAGACCCACGTGTTTTTTTTTACAGAAAAAATTCTTAACACTTGCCCTCGCAACAGTGATGCAAATTTAAAACACAAAATTGCGACACCTGACTTATGAAACCGTCTTGTGAACAAATGTCACCTATTTTTACATCCACGGAAAAAAGGATGTGACGCTCTGTAAAAAAAAAACTAATATTCTTTTGGAACCTCTGGCATGGAAGTTGAAACAATGGGTACACTTCTTAAATCCCTCCCACCTCTCTCCAGCCAGGAGTATGTGTATACATCTCGGCCATCGGCAGGTCGTGTGTGCGTTTGCGTAAAGTGTGGACTACTCCCACCACTACCAAGACGTCTGACTGATGTGAAGAGGGGAGAAAATATCCTCCAGAGAGGCTCTAGAGAAATACATTTATTTTATTTTTTTACCACGGAAGGCCCACTGAACTATATAGCTCTTTTTCAGAAACGACCTGGCCACAAATAATAGCTAAGCAAAGTGGCTTATCGTGTGGAAATGAACAGCAGCCAAATAATCGAAACGCATGTTTCTAAATGTGGAATGAAAAACCGGAGGACAGTAAAATCCACACGACCACGGGGAGAACATTCAAACTCCAAATATACAGGCATCAGGGTCGGGCTCAAACCCACGACCTCTAGTGGAGGCCCTTTACACATTATTTTATGTTTAGTTACTTAAAAAATTGGGATATTTCCCATATTTCGAGGGCCATGGCGGGAAGGCAGCCGAGCACTCACAGGCACAGTGCTGTTCAGGAAACCAGTGCCAGGAGAAAACCTGCACATACAAGGGGATACACCGACTAGCAGTATTGCCTAAAACAGACGCCTCTTTTTTAAAGACCGAATCTTTGAAAATATGTATTGATTGTCCACCTCACAACTCAATGCATTGTCATCATTCAGGTTGGCAAATTTATTCGATAACCTATTCTATTAAATTGATGAATGCAGCCGCCTCTAGTGATTATTAGAGATCACAAACCTATTACAGGTAACAAACCAAAAAAAATCAATAACACGCGTGATTTGACGAAGCGTGCGCTCAAGAATCAATACTAACCATTGAATCCATGCATTGTTAAACCATTTACTGCCGCAGCCATAAACATTTCTGCTGCAAGGCATGGCAGCGGCTTGGGGAGGCCTTGACAAGGCAATGTTCATGACCGAGGCGGTGAGCCGTTAAGTTTTTCAGTTTTCACCATGGGAGCAGGCACCTCGCAGACTCCATCAGTCTTCGATGCACCAAGCGCACCTGCAAGCTGTGACGCCGCCACCACCACCGCCGTCACACCCGGCTGTAACTCGGCGACATGCCGGCACGCGTCACATCAGGCACAGTGCCGTACGCGGCCGAGCGAATCCTCGTCACGAGAACAATGCCCGTCACGCGGCGAGCTCAGGCAGCCGGGAGGACTGCTCAGGAATGGCATTTGTGCCGCACGCCTCCACGTACCCACTCGCGGCTGGATAGCGATTGAATTGTAACTCGCCAAGGGCTACGAAAGCACGTGCAGCCTGACGCACGCAACACGCCCCAGCGTCATGGCAGTGACGCTGGATGAGGGAAGTGGTGACGACAGTGCAGCGCTGAATGTGTGGCGTTGCTCTCCGATGGCATTTGCACTTACAAGACTGATGTGGCAAAACCCAGTTACAATAGCTAAATGTCGATTTAAAGCTTTCGTGACTGCAATGATTCATCTTCTTTGGTTCTTTCGGTAAAGTCACGTAGAATGAGAATAAAATAATAAATTGATAAAATAAAATAACACAATAATATTCTCACGACGTTTCGGCCACAACACAAGCGGCCTTCATCAGGTGAAGGGACGAGACTGTCTGGTAGGACAGCGCTGGAGTGAAAGAGCCACGTTCAGATCAGCTTTAAATCGAAATTTAACCGCCTCTACGGGGAGGGATTCCACACATCCTTAAGATCATTCAACAGACTCCGGGATAAGAAGGCTCAACTAATCGAGTCTCTCACCTTTCTGAAGAGATGCCGCGACTCTAAGCTTAAAGGTCGTGATCTGAACGTGGCTCTTTCACTCCAGCGCTGTCCTACCAGACAGTCTCGTCCCTTCACCTGATGAAGGCCGCTTGTGTTGTGGCCGAAACGTCGTGAGAATATTGTTCTTTTATTTTATCAATTTATTATTTTATTCTCATTCTACGTGACTTTACCGAAAGAACCAAAGAAGATGAATCATTGCAGTCACGAAAGCTTTAAATCGAAATTTAACCGACTCTACGGGGAGGGATTCCACACATCCTTAAGATCATTCAACAGACTCCGGGATAAGAAGGCTCAACTAATCGAGTCTCTCACCTTTCTGAAGAGATGCCGCGACTCTAAGCTTAAAGGTCGTGATCTGAACGTGGCTCTTTCACTCCAGCGCTGTCCTACCAGACAGTCTCGTCCCTTCACCTGATGAAGGCCACTTGTGTTGTGGCCAAAACGTCGTGAGAATATTATTGTTATTTTATTTTATCAATTTATTATTTTATTCTCATTCTACGTGACTTTACCGAAAGAACCAAAGAAGATGAATAGCTAAATGTTCATAATTTTAATACCACAAACCAGGTTGGATTCTGCTACGTATCATCACCCCTAACTCACAACCAAAGGAGCTACAAGTTCAAATGCAAATTTTGGGGGCCTCGGGGAGGCTGATAAAATAAGCACCACTTCGTAAGAAGGCAATAGAGGCTGCCATATAGAAAAAAACGTTCCACAAAACAGATTCGTGATTTAATAATTTTTTGTTTTACTTTGTGGCGAATGAAGTGCCTCTAATGGCTGGGTCATTATAAATGCGTACTACTGTTGCAGGAAGCAACAGCAGTTGTAATAATAACTATAGATTTCCTTGACATGTGGAATTTCTGCCGCTTAGTTGATACACTTCGGATTTACAGAGCTTTCTAATTGCAACCGCATCTCATAATATGAGGACTGCCAACCGCGATTAACGCAGCGCAAATGAAAATGAGTGATTCCTGATTCATGCCATGTATTTCTTGTCTTAAATGAATGGGAATGTGCTTTATATCTTGAGTTCACCCACAAACTATCGATGTGGGAGTGAAACGTCAACAGGGGAGGGACACTCCCATTACTTTTATCTTCACTTGCTTTACATTATTTTTAATCTAGGTTTTTTTCGTTCAGATATGAAAGTGTATGAAATAATTTTCAGTCAGTTTAAATAATCAAGATACTCAGAGTGTCTTTATCACAAAAGTGAACTCGTTTTAGTGACAGCTATTCAATCAGGTGTGTGCCTGCCAAAGGGGAAGCTTGTAAAAGCTTAAAACAATTGTTTAAATGACTGCTATTTTACAACACATGCAATTAAAGATGTAGGAATTTCCCAAAAATAAAATATTAAGAAAATAATATTTACTTTTCCAGGAAGACCTCAATGGGCCTTGGTACTTTTTTAGAAGTATTCTGCAAGCGACATTGCTCAATCCTCTTTAAGTGTGTATTGCTTAAAAGTGGGAGTACGTAGAGAAAACTCATCATGGCATACGTGGCAATAACACTCAAAAGTCCATCCAGATGGGCTCACAAACCCACTTGCTGTAGTGCTACCTCCTGACCACCTGGCAGTCCAGCAAGATTGGCAGCCTCACAACCCAGACCATTTAGGGCAGGGTTGGGGGACCTTTTGCTTAAGCAGGGCCGAGTAGGACTTTCAAACACTGGTGAAGGGGGGGTGGCACCACACTTTGACACTAACACACCTCACTTGGTCACTTCTGTAGCTGCAAGAGGCTTGTACAGTGACAGAACTGAGCATGCAAAAATGATAAACCAGGTGTTGTTGTCAGGTCAAAAATATTCCCTTTCTCGTACCCGATTCGTGCGGCTAGGACATCCGCAGTGATTGGATACTGTTTTGGGGCCGTTTCTGAGTGGTCGTCCTTGTGTGCCAGCAGGTTGTGCCTTGTGTGCCAGCAGGTTGTGCCAGGTCTGCGAACCGTGGGCTCCCCACGCCTGCTTTACAGAATCTTCAGCAATATAGGCCACTCTCGGAGAGGGCCTCACGCGAATTCCATCACGCAGTTCAGACGGCCACGTGGCACTTGCTCAATACTGGGGGAAGTCGGGGTCGACGGTGGCGGCCCAGGCAGCTAGGCCCCCGGCCACATCCCGCACGCTCACGGCCTCGCCGGCGTCCGCCAGTGCCCGCCGCAGCAGCGTCACGGCCACCTGGGAGTCATTGCCCTGCTTGCAGATTGTGAACACTGCACACGGGACAGCGACGGACGGCAAGAGAGCATCAGTGGCGTGCACGCCCGTTACAGGATACTGTACCGTGAGTGAGTTTGTGGCGAGAGGATCAGCAGCATACTCACCCGCCAAGTGACGCCGTTAATAAATGAACTCCTGAAGTTGAACCTGCCTCTAAAAAACAATGGCGTGCGCTGAAGCGAATAACCTGCATCAGGATGCAGCCACCACTTATTCCAATGTAAAAATCTGAGAGAGCCCAGCGGCGGCATGCGACTGTGGAAATCCAGATCAGACTGCGGGCCACACTGTGAACTATTGTGAACCTCGGAAATTCAGCGGATGCATTGAAGACATTCATTCAGGTGCCCACCCATGAGGCTGTGCTTTGGAAATCAGCCCTGGACATGGCCTTAGGGGTTAATAGACAAAAGTAATATGCAATAAATGTTCTTTAGGAATAGCCCACAGTGCGACTGCTATCACCAATTCCAGGGCTTAACTTCTCACTGAATATTTTCAGACTCACTGGTCGATTGGAGTAGGCACATGCCTCATAACCACAGCCAGAGTGAGATGCATACTGGGCGTCATTGCCGGGTCCAGACATTTTATACCATGGGCCACATAATAACGCCAATGCTTGCTTCTATCATTGACTGGCAGCATGTCACATTTCCCCCAGGCTACTCTTGAAGCCATCCATTGGCCCACTCACCCACCTTAAATTAACATATAAATGTGCTGATTAACTCTTCCGATGCCCTCTAGTGTTAAATCCTAAGGCTCACAGTCTAAGAAGCCATTGCTATGGTTGTTTCAGTTGTGTTCGTTCGTATTTTTTTATATAAACACTGAATACATGTCCTCATTGAAGCTCCAGGAAATGTATTTAGACATAAACACATGTCAAAATTGTGTCATTGCAAATATAAAATTAGAAAATTACCTGCAGAGACATTCTGAAAAAATACGATAACTGGTCTTACCTACCAAAACAATGCATTCAAAGATATACTTATTATTTAATAATAAATCAATTACATAATTGATATGTATTGTACGTAAGAATGTGTAGGCTTGTACGCACACATCAAATGAATGCAGAATGGAAGAGCAGCATTTCTCAAAGTGTGGATCGCAACTCATGGCAAGAGGAGGGAGGTAAGGCACTTTGTCATTAAAGGGAAAGGAATTTTTATACTCTTTGGTTTTTTCGGTAAAGTCAAGTAGGTAAAATAAAAATAAAATAAAAAATAAACAACTAAAAGGAATTTGTCTGAACACCAAATAAAAACATTTGAGTCGAGTGTCAAACTCACTCGCATTCAGTCCTCTGAACTATAAGGGCTACAACATTTGCAGTGCAAAAACTCCCCGCGTGCAGCACCGTCATGGACGACCCACTCCACCGTCACGGACGACCCACTCCACCGTCACGGACGACCCACTCCACCGTCACGGACGACCCACTCCACCGTCACGGACGACCCACTCCACCGTCACGGACGACCCACTCCACCGTCACGGACGACCCACTCCACCGTCACGGACGACCCACTCCACCGTCACGGACGACCCACTCCACCGTCACGGACGACCCACTCCACCGTCACGGACGACGCACTCCACCGTCACGGACGACCCACTCCACCGTCACGGACGACCCACTCCACCGTCACGGACGACCCACTCCACCGTCACGGACGACCCACTCCACCGTCACGGACGACCCACTCCACCGTCACGGACGACCCACTCCACCGTCACGGACGACCCACTCCACCGTCACGGACGACCCACTCCACCGTCACGGACGACCCACTCCACCGTCACGGACGACCCACTCCACCGTCACGGACGACCCACTCCACCGTCACGGACGACCCACTCCACCGTCACGGACGACCCACTCCACCGTCACGGACGACCCACTCCACCGTCACGGACGACCCACTCCACCGTCACGGACGACCCACTCCACCGTCACGGACGACCCACTCCACCGTCACGGACGACCCACTCCACCGACTGCAGTCTGGGTGGTCTCAAGCTCTGCTCCCCCCCCCAGCGGAATCACACCTGGTAACTCGGTATCACTCCCTCCGCCGGTTGCCTTCCTCCTCTCCTCCCAAATCCTCTCCAGCAGCAGCTCCACTCCCTGTCCAGGCGATCTGGCCTCCGGCGACGACTGCCGTCCTCCGAACCGAAGCCCGTCGGCGCTGGCCACCTCCTCGGCAAGCCCCGCATCGTCATCAAACTCCACCGGCGTCTTGAGTTCTTGGCCGGGCCCGGCCACTTTCGCCGGCCATGCCGCGTTCCACCGCTCCAGCCTACTCAGGGGGATATCTGTGGATCGCAAGTTAAAGGCCTTCCTCCTCCTCGTGTAGTTTCGTGCAATAAGCAGGTACGCAGTGTTACGCCTCGGTGAGTTTTGTTGCTTAAAGATCGCTACGGAAGAGCGTGTGCGGTAAAAGGACCCAAGGCTGCGTCGCAGTACAGGATACTCAGGGAGTGCGGCAGATGGCAAATGTCCACCTCCACGGTGGGGCGCACGTCCAGTAGCACATGCGGCAACTCCTCGTCCAGCAGCGCCTTGTACTCCTACGCACAACCACATCACGCCACGACAACACAACGCCACATCTTGTCACAACCACGCCACACCATGACGCAACCAAGCATTGGGCAGCCACGTCGTTCTGCGACCACACTACGCATGCCACGAACACAACGCCAAGCAACAACCACGTCACATCACAACCACGCCACTTGACCTCTATGTACCCCATGAATACAAAAATCAGACGTGATACGAAACATTCGTGCACAATGGCCCGGTGACCCCAATGTCGTTACACCAGACTTTCTTTCACCCAAATCATTAAGAATCAGCACTTGGCAGGTAACGTTCCGAGCCCGAATATTTTGGTGAATTTCCAAGATTTGTGGTTAATGATTCGATGTTATACGTTTGTTGTCTCGTCAGTTCAGTTTTTTTTCCCTCACCATTAGCACAAATTACATTGGCACATACTTTACATGAAGCGTAAACAATACATTCTGACGTGCACAAATCGATCTTTGTATTAAGGACATGAGTAATTATTTTAAGCAAAGGATCGTGGATGCATCCTGACATGCCTAATTAGCCGTGAGCCGCACTCACCTCCACCGTTACTCTCTCCTCTTTCTTCAGCAGCATCAATCTTCGGCACTGCAAACACACAAAAAACATAATCCTGGCAGTTAAAAATACGTATGGCAGAGGTGTACGGGTGGCTCAAGTACTGACGTGGCACCAAGTGAGATCCTCAGTTAAAACCCAGGCAGACACCCATAAAATAAACTCGATTCTCAACTATTAGTTAATGTTCTCAGGCCCAGCCAACAATGACTGGCACAGCCTGGGACAATGCAAGCAGGATCCAATCGCTAACAACGAGCCACGCGTTCAGCCAGGGCAGGACCCAGGTGCCTAACATCACCTTGTCGGTGGCGGCGGCGCCGCACCAGGCCTCGTAGTCAGGCAGGCTGGAGGCAGTGACGGACGGCGCGTCCCCACACGTGGCACATCCCATGCGCCGTCCTCGCAATGACACAGAGCGCATCCGCCCCTCCAGCCCGTCCAATACTAGCAACCGCCCCGAGTAGCTGGCTGCAACGGTGGTAAATGGCGGCGGCAATGGTGGTGGTTGCAGTGATGGTGGTGACAGTGAAAGTGTACGTGGTAGTGGTGGTGATAAGTGGTGGTGGTGTTAGCAGGGGTGGTGATGGTTGGTGGTTATTATGATGATGGCGTAGGTGAAGGTGGCAGTGGTATTGAAGGCGGTAGTGATCGTAGCAGTAGTGCGGCAGTTGTGAAGCGCAGCTCAGGGAAAGTGACTCAAACAATGTCACAAATGTATGCTGTGGACATGGGTAGTTATATGCTACACACACACACACGAGTACCGACATACTACACACGAGTACCGACATACTACACACACACACACACGAGTATCGACATACTACACACACACACGAGTACCGACATACTAGACACACACAGGGTGAGGATACAGCCCATTCTAGCAGCAACCTTCAGCACTTCCAGCGCCTGCAGGCTCCCCATGATTCCAGGCACTGCAACAGGTAAACAAAGCAGATGCACACACACCGGGAGACTGGTGGAGAGAGGAAAATACAAATTCACCACAGTGGTCTCAGGAGACATGGATGCGTGTATCCAGCTGCAGGTTTCCAAGCCTCCGTACCCACTCCCAGCACACCCCCGTCTGAGCAGTTGGTGACCGTTTCGGGCGGTGGTGGAGTCGGGTAGAGGCACCGGTAGCAAGGGCCACCTTCATGATTGTACACGGTCAGCTGAAACGCACACACGAACGCGCACGCACGCACCAACACACACACAAACGTCATCTGTACATGCAAATACCTGTCATGTAGCTTTTAACAAACTGTTGGGGCAAGGATTGTTTAGCACGCACACATTAAGGCCAACTTGGCACGCGAAAAGCAAAAACCAGTTCAGTTATCACTCACCACGGATGTTAGGCATAGCGGAAATCGAACTCAGGCCTCTGGGTTCACAGCACAGTATGCCAACTACCGCACATTCGCTCTACCTGCTCTATATACAAGTTATGCATTAATCATCCTGCCAAACGATAGAGTGACTTCAAACCCAACGGCGCAGCTATCAACCCCCGGCGATGGGAGTGCGCGTCACCTCCGCAAGGTCACGCATGCATCACCTGTCCCTCCATGCGCAGCGCGCTTGCCGACACGAGCGGCTTCCCCGCGAGGACGCACACGTCGCTGACGAGGTATCGCGTGGCCACGTTGTCCGAGCAGTCGGCCACCACATCATACCTGTCCGGTGATGTAAGGAACCGGTGTCGCGTTCTTATTAACCCACACCCTTGCGCTCATTCAAAAGTTGGAACGTAGCGATTAGTGGATTAGAATTGATTTCACCCTCACACATGTATCGAATTGTGCGTGTGAGAAATGGTTATTTACCGTGGAAATGATATGCGAATGTTATATTCCGGTTAATGGTGTGGATAAAGATGTACGGATGACATTAAAAACAATACGAACAGTGCAACAAAATGGGACAAAAACAACCAATCTTGCAATGAACCACAACCCTGAATCATTCAGGGGTGAATTGTTAATTGCCCATCACACTGTATTTATCAGAGCAAATGCTTTCATATGTGTGTTTTTTCGTTCCTATGTAAGTCTTTCTGAATGCGAGTCCATGTGACCCTGTGTACGGATTTTCATGCAAGTGCCAAAAATAATGGCACAGGGATAATGAGTGGTTAGGTGGCTCAGGTGAATAATGCCAAGCACAAGCCAGTACTTTTGAGAAAGTGTCTCTAAATCCAAGTTACATCCATCCATGCTTATACCGGGTTATAAAGGTATGGTCTCAACCGTCATCATAATATCATATTAAATTTGGTCAATCACATAAATTGGAGTATTCCGGCTCTGAAAATGTAAAATAAATATTTTACCGATGTACAACGAATCCTCTTTGAAGTGCATATAAAAGGTGCGCCACCAAGTGTACATAAGAGGCTACTGAAATGGCTTCAATTGGTCAGTCGGTTTATGTTAGCCAAGGGCCATTGCGCTAAAAAGCTCTTTTTCAATGGCTACGCGGCCTCCAAAAGTATTTCTGCGTCATCACCGTTTGGGGACACTAGCCGATACCGCGTCGTCTCCTGAAATTCCATGGATAACTTCACAAAAATATAACCGGGAGAAGAATAAAAATCGACATTTTCACAAAGGATACTGTCGTACGAGTTGCAGAGCGTTTTTTTGAGACAGGAGCAGGTGGTATGGCACGACCTCCACAGTCGAGTTCAGTCTGATTTTGGAGACAAACCACAAGCGGTAAATCACTGGCGCGAGCACAACACATGCACAACGCAGCACCAGTACTGGTCAAAAACAGACACCGCAACCTTGCATTTCTGTAACGTTTCCTCCCTTCCCGGCAACCCCCCCCCCCCCCGACCTCTCCCCGGCCCCACTGACTGAGCAACTGCGCAGGCAGCAGAGGCGGCTTTCTCCTCCCCTACACGCTGCTCCGTGTGCAGCACCTGCCGGTGCAGGTTGCTCAGCTCCACCGAGTCGTGGTCAACCAGGCCCAGACGGCCTGCAAACACAAAGGTGAATATTATATCTCGTGTAACCCACGCAGACTGTAGGTGCAGTGCTGTAAATGAGTGCCCATGTGATGTATAGAAATGCTCACTTGCAGTGCCAAGCAACGTTGTGATACCACTGGGAGGTCCCTTTCAAATGTTTGAGGTGAAATTTTAAGGAAGGTGCTTTCAGTTTCTGAGGTATTTAAGCAACATTTCAATGAAAATATGATATTATATATTTTCTGGCTGCTTGGAGTGCAGGCAGTGACATCACTACGCTGACGTCATACCTCCCCCCCACCCACCCTCCGCCGTGGCCGTGTATCCCACCCAAATTCACAGGCAGTGATAGTTATTATTACGAATAACCGCAGCGGATCCTACCAATGCCGGCAGCGGCGAGGTATTGAGCAACGGGACAGCCGAGGCCACCACAGCCCACGACCAGCACTGAAGTATTCGAAATCTTCAGCTGCCCTAGACGTCACATAACACACACACACACAGGGACAAGGAATCCCCCATTTCGAGAAGATATTTTGACTGTTGGAGCAAATGCTTTGAGCATGCACTATAACTTGGCCAATGGGACACGTGGAGTGATCACTGTGTCGCGGAAAGGCCCGTACCCTTAACTCCGAGCTCAGGCAGCACTAGCTGCCGACTGTAGCGGCCAATGTCGGCCCTGCTCAGTTTGCATTTCTCCGGCAGCGGTGGCAACGGCCGCACGTCCCTCAGGGCCGCCAGAGCTGGCGCGCCGCTCGGCTTCTGGAACACACGCAGCCAGGGGTGACAAAAGCTCATGTGCCAAACCGTCCATCGCACAACCACACAAAGACACACAAACACGCATAGTTGCATAGTTGGTACACTGAAGATTTTTAAAACCCTTTCACCAAGTACTTATTTCCAAACTAATCATGCTGCTTAATTAAATTTTTGGTAAAAATAACATAGACGCACATTTTTGCTTTGAAAATGAGTATGCAGTAATAGGGTTTCAAAATTGGCAGCCCACTGCTTACATCGGTGGGGTTGGCAAGTATGCACATGTATTGTATAATAATAATAATGAATGCAAGTGGTTCACGCATTGCAGTAAATGAACCCAGGAAAATAAGTTATATTCCTGCTTATGGCCAACACCAGTGAAGATTATCTGAACTGGTCCTGCTCCTCCCCTCGGTCGATTCAGCCTCAAATGAGTACCTAGTGTGGTGTGTAAAGGGGCCGTCCATAAATGACGTCACGCACCTAGGGGGGGGGGAGGGGGGTCAGGAATTTGTGACAATGTGACGAGGGGGGGGGGGGGGTTTGAGAAATGTGACGTCACATCAAAATGCGCAACTTAAAATAAATATTAATTAAATATTATTGTTATAACACTAATTTTGATTCATTTTCATTATTAACTATTTGATTATTTAAATTTACTAAGGTCACCTTTTATTTATTCCATGAAGGAGCATTTTGCTTCTCCAAAATGCTCCTTTTTTTGTAAATTTTTGGAATGATTGTTATTAAAAATTTAGATTCTAATGATTCTACCAGGGCTTTTCATTCTGTGAAATGAATATATGATTGTTATAATTGTACTCTCCATTTTGCTTCGTTCTACTACAAAGTTTCAAGTATTTTTTTATAGTTATAATTGCTTTTAATATTTTACAATTATAAGATAATTTCAAAATAATATTCTGAACATCTACAGTTTTAGTTAGACGTTGAATATTTTCAAGTTAATGTTGTGCTAAATTTCAACTTTCCAACGCCTCCTTTTTAATACGTGTTTTCTCCTACAACATCAGAGTGCAGGGCCACATTAAATACGCACTACAATAGTTTAAAGTGATTTGAAGCACGTTTTATTTTCAAAATGGAAATATGGTTTTGGGGGGGGGCAGAGCTTTGTGACGTCATATTTGAGGGGGGTCTGACTTTTTGTGACGCCGTGTGACGAGGGAGGGAGAGGGGATCAAAAATCAGCCAAAATCGCGTGACGTCATTTATGGACGGCCCCAAACATCACCATTGGGGAGACAAAGGCGCTCGCGTGTGGTGCTGGCCACCAACCCCCCCCCCCCCCCTCGTGTGCCGTCATCTTCACAGGTGCTCGCTAATAGCACGTGCTCCAAAAGCCTGTTTAGGTTATACGGGGGATCTTTGTTGTTTATAAAATGTGAAAGCATTGTAGAGTCCACCAGTAGATGTTGCACTGCCCTCTGCTGCGCACAGGAGCACCAGAAACAACCCACGAATAATGCAAGGACGACTGCATCTGAGATGGTTCACAATCCCTCTTGCTGTACCGCCATCTACTGGCCACCTGGTTACTATCCAAGAAGGGATACATGTAGCGTTTCCAGACTTGCTGATCTGCAGGTGAGCAAAGTTGAAGTATTTAAAGTAGTTGTTGTCAAAGTACTTTATCACTTATTTTACCGTAAGTACTACGTGCATTTACTCACGAGAGAAACAACCAATATTAAGGTCAGCTGGTGGATATGGGGGGGGGGTAGAATTATAAATTGATATTTTAAGAAATGGCCACGTGACTCTTTGTGTCAAAGTACTGATATTGATCGCTGTGGAACCGAAGTTGGAATCCGGGTTGAAGCCTCCCGTGATTTAAATTGGGTTCTCGTGTGTGGCGAAATGATGGTCTCAGCCCGGTCACCAATTGCAAACAGCTGATAAAAATTCCACATTCATACAACGGGAGCGAGTCTGCCAGTCGGACTACCACGAGCGGCTCCCTACAAAGTGGTGCCAGATTTTATCGACCCTGGCAGGATTAGTGGCCGAATCAAGCGTCCTTGGAACTCGCAACCTACAGTGGCAATTCTGCATTACTCTGGCAGGGACGAGTCCATGACCAGAACCCTGCTAATTTGCCATGTTCAGATGTCACACAATATAAAGAGACGTATCGCAGCAATATCAAAACACTAGTTGAATGTCAACACTCTCATCTGTCGCGTGCTATGAAGAAGATCCATCTCCCGAAAAGTAAAAACATTTTGCACACCGAATATTAATGCAGTGTCAGTGTTTGTAATCTGACACATGGAGCTATCGCTTTACACAAAACAATCAATCACCACCTTGAGAAGTACGTTAGAGAGGGGGGGGGGGATCATCATTAGCAACCAGTGGAGGTGGTCTATGAATGGATCGCGTTCTTGCAGCACTTCAAAACAAGACGCGAACGAGGGCGGAGCGGCCCCGCGTTAAAAGGAACTCGGCCACCGCTCCCGACGATTCCCCTGGGGGGCTCCACCCCAGGCCCTCTGTGGATCAGAGCGGGGTGGATGGGCGCGTTGTTTGGTTGCCCAGAGGGCGTCGACTCACCACCACCAGCATCTCCCGCTTCTCGCCGGCAACTCCCGGAGCGTTGGAGTCCATGAGTAACCCACCCTCCCACCGCCGCCTGTCGCGTCTCCACCCACCCCAACTACGCCCCAGTAGCAGCCAAGCGAGCTGCACGTGTGGGTGGCGTGTGGTGGTGGTTGCCACTGCCTCGGCGGAGCGAGTCCAGGCTCGCGGCCATCTTACTCAGGGACGCCCCGCGCGTTCTTCTCGATGGCAGTGGAGGGGGGTGGGGTGGGTTACGCGCTCGTGACGCCATCGAGACGCGCCGCGTCGTCCCCCCCCCCCCCGCTGGACGCTGTTGTTGAACTGGGCGAGTTCCCCTACGTAAGATGGCGGGTTAACCTTCGACCCTCCCTCTTCACACCCTCTTCTCCGCCCCGCCCGTCCCTTTCTCAGACCTTCGCACCTGATTGGCTCACACGTCACAATGGGTTATTCATATGGTGATCGACATCAATTATGCACGCACATCCGCGCCGCGTGACATCCTGCCCGTTTTGGGTGCAAGAAATCGCGGTACCTGTTAGGGGCCATCCATTGAGTTGGTACACAAACTTCTGTCAAAACTTGACCCCTCCCCGGCTCCCTGTACGCAAGCGTACTTTTTACACCCCCCCACACCTGCGTATGTATGTCTGACGCACCACCCCCCTCCCCCGAATCATGTCGAACGGTCGATATTTCATCCACGCAGAAACGATCAACGATTCATAATATTAACGTGTTTACGCAGATAGTCCACCGCCGCCTGCATTAAATAATTAAGTTGCGTACCTTTAAAAAGTTTAGTCTAGTGCCTACTAGGTTCAAACGCTGACTGAACCCATACGAACAGGTTACGTATTATAGGAATTTCGTCAACACGCGCAGTGTCATGCTGAAGCACAGCATCGTTAGCTGCAGTCTGCTGGGCCGCCATCTCAAGAACCACAGTGTCGCTGACGTCGTCATCATCATCATCCAGATTTTGATTGTTCGCACTGCCAGAAGACTAAGTCGTGTAAATGCGCTGGTGTCGTTTGACACCAGCCTGCGGCAGCTAAAACCTTGAGCCGGCGGCAGTCTGCAGCGAGGGCAGACTGAAGGATGTGTGACCCATGGGGCAGGCCGCCAGACTATGTCAGACTCACTGCTGAGCTTGCGTGATGGCTAGCAGTCAGGGGTACGGTGGCATACAAGTGTAATGAGACACTTCCGCGACACGTCGTGGAGAGGGAACTTCTTCCGTTATTTCTCACACTGGGCACAACACAGGCCAACCTCATTCCTCTCACTCCGAGTGCAACACTTAGATATTAAAGTCTCTACTGGCTACACACACGGCCGATCACTCGGCGTGGTCCCACCGCCCTCACTCGGCTACGCCGCTGGCTGGCGGCGTGACGAGGATGGCGATGGAAACCCCGCAGGAGATCTTCCACGTGGCCGGACGACGGAGCCAGGACCCAAGAATCCACACGCGAGCCCCGGGTCCGCTTCCCCTTATATCCCCCCAGGCGCGGCTAGGCCCCGCCTCTGGCCACGCCCTCTCGTGGATTCTTCGAGCAGGTTCCCGGAGCATCTCGACCAACCCCACCTGTTAACCTTTGCCCCAGATACCTGTCTCTCTCTCCGATTGGATGTTCCCTTAAGCGTGCCCATGCCCGTGCTTCCCTTTCCCAGCCAGCAGGTGTCATCATGTCATTACACAAGCGACACCTCTCCCACAGTCCCACTTCTCCCGGTTGTATTTGTCTGACAGCTGAAGAAACTGAACTGTGACTCATTTGAAGGCCAATTTTGACAAATTATTATCGAGGCTTGACCCCTCCCTCCCTCCCTGTTTCCTATGCGTACATTGTCGTCATTTGGGTTAACTCCCCATTCTCCCCTCCATGCGTATGTACTAAATGGATAACCCCTTATTGCCTGCTCACAGTTAATCACCACCGATGTATGGTGACCTGCTTCCAAACAGCACTGAGCCTGTAGCTATCAGAACGGTTTATAATTGTTTGTATTTCTCTCCATTTTGATAGATTCTCTAATTAGTCTTGGCCAACAGTAACTAGTTTTGCACAGAACTTCAACATGATCAAAAACAATTGAGTGTCCTTGTTGGCACGCTTGTTCTGCCACTGCCAACAGTTGTATTTTGGAGTATTTAATATTAATTTGGTGTTCTTTTAGTCTCATGCTAATCATTCGTCCTGTCTGACCATTTGCCACAGGAACAATGCATCTGTTGCATGCCTTCTGTTGATAACTTCGTGAATACATTTTTAGTACCAGATATTAGCTTTTATATTTACACGATGTAACCCAAACGCCTCTTATGGATAACATTGGTCGCGAAAGCCTACGTGTTAAACTAGATCACAAGTGACATCACAGTTATCCCTCTATTTAAGACCGAAACAGCAAGATTTCTCCACAACTCTGGCTGTCTCCTGATGAGGATAGTTGTAATTTACTGGTAAAACATCAGACTGGAATTGTAAATGTTGTGGCTTCTTCTCTCCAACACACCGGTGTGCTGTACTAGTAACGAATCGGCATGTTTCATTTTCGTGACAAATCTTACTAATTGGCTGTGGCGGGTTTAACGACACATTTATATTTGGATAATATTTCTCGCGAAAGCCTACTAGGCATTAAACTGACATGCTTTACGGCTTGTTGATGATGCTGTGGTTATTGCGCCATAAGTGATTTGTGAATTACCACCCCACGCATTAACACGTAGCAGAGGGGACTCGGCTGGTTGATATGCAGTTGGATTACTCTATACGGGACAGCGATTCACGTGTTCCAGTAACGTGGGGGCAGGGGTGCCTTTCCTCCTCCCCCGTGGCCAAAGGCTACAAAATGGGACCCCCTTGACAGCCATCATGAGATGTGTTTTCAACAACAGTGTAAAAGAACAAACACCTATTTAAAATGCGGTTTTAAATTCTTATTTTTATGGAAATTCTTTAACATCATCAGACCGCCTTTGCCAGTACCAAAATATAATAATAGGGTTTTTCCACTTTTTTTCTGGCAACAAAACTGAAGCCTTTTAAAAAGGAATTCATGTGTGCATTAACCACAATACTGTAGCCACTACAGTGTCTTCAGTGGGCATTGCCAGCTTCGGGTCCAACTCGCTGATACAGTATTTATAGCCCGGTAGTCCACAAGAGGCAAAATACTCAGTTTACTGATTATGAGGATCCTATATGCATAATTATATATAAGGGAAATTTGTGAATGTGTGTCGACATGCAACGAACTTGAAACTTGGCATGTGGGTAGTTTCCAGACTGTACACCATGCAAAATGTATAATAATAGACTTTTGTATATATATTTTTTTGGGGGGCGCAATAATGGATATATTTTGCACGGCAAGTGAGCTGTGACGTCACATCTGTGATGTCACCCGCATGTGGAAGCGTTACGCAGTGTGCCTGCTGATGTCACGCATTCCCCCCCCCCAACCCTCCGCGAGTAAAGTGCCAAACAAATGTGTTGCAGGTCTAAGGCGTTTTTCGCGCAGCATTGCTTTATTGTTTCAGTCGTTTACTGCCGTACGCACCCTGACAGTTGTGTGTGTCTGCAGCAAGCGCGTGTATGTGTACCTATGGACACGCGCGCGTGTGTGTGGGGGGGGAGCGGTAGTGTAGTGGTTAGTGCACTGCGCTACGAATCCAGCGACCCGAGTTCAATTCCCGCCCACCACCGGTGACGATTATTTGTAACCGTTCCTGGGCCTCCCCTAGGTCGACTCAGCCTCAAATGAGTAACTGGTGTGGTGTGTGAACATCGCCACTGGGGAGGCAAAGGCCGCCAGGCATGGTGAATCCAAGTCCCGGGTAGTAAAGCTAGTTTAACATGAGACATAGCTCATTACAAGTATTTCTTTTAAACCTCAACATATTCTTCAATAACACTGCCTTAAAAGAAAATGCATAAAAGGCGACGTTTTGGGCAATGGCCCTTCTTCAAAGCACATATAAATGGAGGTTCTCCCTGCCCTATGAGGGAATCATATGAACTATCTCGGTTGAAGCATCAACTCTTCGGCACGTGACAAATTTCAGATTTATAGGCCTTAAAAAAATCTTAATCGGAATCTTTATTGAGACAGGAGGAATCCGACGCGCTATGAAGCTCTGTCACAGATGTCCAGTCGGGACGGGTCAGCCAGTGACATTCAATATCATGGGTGGCATCTTCAATGACACAGCTGCGAGCTGTCCTAGTTAACCACAGTCATCACAAGCCCAGTAAACATGATGATGAAACGTTGAGCCGACCTTGGTCCCAACAGTTCCCACCACATGCCAACGTTGGACCAACATTGCATGTTTACTGGAAGACTGCCAAAGCCTTGACCTGTGGAGGAGGCAATTGTAGTTTATGACCATAGCAATTATGTGTATTGCCGTTATTTATTAAACTTGTAGTTGTAAATGCTGTACACATTTTCCCCATTTGAAAGTTTTCATTTGCTGACATACAGTTGTGGTTTTATAGGTGTTCAGATTATCGGGGCCTTGGAACTGTTTGTGCAAAGCACGACATAAGCTTGATTTGCAGTACTTTAGTTATTATTACATGTCATTTAAAGTCTGTTTGCTGGCGTGCTAGAACATGCAGATAATATGTAGGGAATTCCTGAGCACGGAGCTCTAAGCTACGAAATAAGCCTCCATTGCTGGCTCAAAGTCACTCACAGTAATTCAAACCCTCGGGCGCTGTGGTTAAGCCCTCAGTGGGTTTACAGTGAGGGAAAAAAAGTATTTGATTCCCTGCTGATTTTGTACGTTTGCCCACTGACAAAGAAATGATTCTATAATTTTAATGGTAGGTTTATTTGAACAGTGAGAGACAGAATAACAACAAGAAAATCCAGAAAAACGCATGTCAAAAATGTTATAAATTTATTTGCATTTTAATGAGAGAAATAAGTATTTGACCCCCTCTCAATCAGAAAGATTTCTGGCTGCCAGGTGTCTTTTATACAGGTAACGAGCTGAGATTAGGAGCACACTCTTAAAGGGAGTGCTCCAATCTCCCTCGGCCTGGGGCTCCATGCAAGATCTCACCTCGTGGAGTTGCAATGATCATGAGAACGGTTAGGAATCAGCCCAGAACTACACGGGAGGATCTTGTCAATTATCTCAAGGCAGCTGGGACCATAGTCACCAAGAAAACAATTGGTAACACACTACGCCGTGAAGGACTGAAATCCTGCAGCGCCTGCAAGGTCCCCCTGCTCAAGAAAGCACATATACATGCCCGTCTGAAGTTTGCCAATGAACATCTGAATGATTCAGAGGACAACTGGGTGAAAGTGTTGTGGTCAGATGAGACCAAAATGGAGCTCTTTGGCATCAACTCAACTCGCCATGTTTGGAGGAGGAATGCTGCCTATGACCCCAAGAACACCATCCCCACCGTAAAACATGGAGGTGGAAACATTATGCTTTGGGGGTGTTTTTTTTCTGCTAAGGGGACAGGACAACTTCACCGCATCAAAGGGACGATGGACGGGGCCATGTACCGTCAAATCTTGGGTGAGAACCTCCTTCCCTCAGCCAGGGCATTGAAAATGGGTCGTGGATGGGTATTTCAGCATGACAATGACCCAAAACACACGGCCAAGGCAACAAAGGAGTGGCTCAAGAAGAAGCACATTAAGGTCCTGGAGTGGCCTAGCTAGTCTCCAGACCTTAATCCCATAGAAAATCTGTGGAGGGAGCTGAAGGTTCGAGTTGCAAAACGTCAGCCTCGAAACCTTAATGACTTGGAGAAGATCTGCGAAGAGGAGTGGGACAAAATCCCTCCTGAGATGTGTGCAAACCTGGTGGCCATCTACAAGAAACGTCTGACCTTTGTGATTGCCAACAAGGGTTTTGCCACCAAGCACTAAGTCATGTTTTGCAGAGAGGTCAAATACTTATTTCCCTCATTAAAATGCAAATCAATTTATAACATTTTTGGCATGCGTTTTTCTGGATTTTTGTTGTTATTCTGTCTCTCACTGTTCAAATAAACCTACCATTAAAATTATAGACTGATAATTTATTTGTCAGTGGGCAAACGTACAAAATCAGCAGGGGATCAAATACGTTTTTTCCCTCACTGTACAATTCACCTTTTTGTTCGAATAAGTGCCCTTCATTGTATTAAAAACGATTTCTAAAACCTCTGGGATGAATGAAAATGTATGTGCCCTTTAAAACAATCTCATCCTATATATGCGAATAGGATAACAAATAAAAACATTGTAAGTTTTAGATTTTGTGGAATAAAAAATGCACTTAGGATGCAAGAAAACAAAGTGTTGTTGAAATAACCCCAGACATGTCAAACTCATCGGCCTCATCAAACCTGCACTGACCAGTGTGGTAAAGTATGGCCAAATATACTCACGACTGGCACGGAGTGGAGAGGTATTCATCCAGCAGTAGATGTAACAAAATGGATGTACATGTACACAAAGTATCATACTATAAAACAATGCATACATCACACCGTATGGAATTCCAGCCAATGGCTTTTACAGAAACTTCGTTTTGGAAAACGACAATTTGACTGACATGCGAATAATATTTGGTCCCAAATAGAGTACAGTATGTACATCCGAGTTATGTCAGCTACTTCTCAATACAGTACATCGATTCTGGCGGTCTCTAGCGGTTGCAGTAGTGGCGTGCACCCATTGCATACAGCATAGACTAAAATTAGAAAAGTTTTGCTGGCTGGCTACGTGGACGTGATATCACGCACGGAGGGACGAGTGGGCCGCGAGTACGAATCGAAAAATAGATTATTACGCACGCGATTTGATGCATGTGTGCGAGCTTAAGAATATCAATAATCTTGATTTGAAGTTTTCGTGACTGCAGGAATCCATACTCTTTGGTTCTTTCGGTAAAGTCACGTAGGTAGAAAATAAAATAAAACAAATCACGACCACAAGCGGTCGTCATCAGGGGATGACGACCGCTTGTGTTGTGATCGAAACGTCGTTATTTGTTTTATTTCTAACAAACGTGACTTTACCGAAAGAACCAACGAGTAATATCAATATTAATGCGCCGTTCCGCTCGTCAGTCTTACCACAATGGGCTCTCAGAACCAACTGGCTTTTGAAAGATACTAAAACTGTACATTGTCGTGAAATGTAAAATCCACTCGCAGACGCACTCATAAAATAAGGACAACAAATACTGCCGCTGATGCCGTATATATTAAAGTAACTTTATTATAATGAAAGACAGGCAATCAGCCATGCTGCAAAAGGCAACTTGAAAGTGTGATTGCAAATTTAAAAAAAATCAACAAAAAATACTATAGCTGCAGACGAGTAAAATGTAGCAAATATCTGTAATAACTTAGCAGGCCCGAAAGCTCCCCACAGCCGGGTACATCTCCATCTTAACTGGTAAATAATCCAATGCGAGAAAGCACACGTGTCCGTCAGACTTCCAGAGTTCCACTTGCTTCTACGTACCAACTGCAAACCAAGGTGGTGGATGTGACGACTGAGTGGTTGAGCGTGGATGGTTGGGTGACTCTCCGTTGGAAGTGGTTCCACGAGGGTGGACCCATAGTCGAGTGTGAATGTTTCCGTGGCTAAAATGCGGATGGCCGAGTTTATATGGCTGAGCGTTATTGAGTATGGGATGGTTGAGTGTGGATCGGTGTATTATTAAATGGCTGGGGTGTGCATGGTTTTATGATTGAATGGCCGGGTCTGCATGGGGATGAGTGGTGAGGCATACATGCCAATTCCCTATGACAGCCTCTTCCACGCTTGGTCCATCACAGCAATGTCCCATTGAATGTGTGATCCGTGTACCTACATGAACCTGCAGTGACTAAGACACTCTAAACTTCTGCCTTTGTGTTGCTAAGCATGGCTCGGCTGATAAGGCGGCGAGTACCAGACTCGACTGCACATTTTTGTTTTACTAAAAATCGCTCGGGATAAACGAACAATGGGAATCTTGCAGCTGCCGTGCAACTTGCACGCACGGTTTAGACGATCCATCATGCCACGATCGCCATCGGGCATCCCTCGGCTCTACAGGGAGGAGGGGCCGCTGCTGGATATTATGAGCTTAGAGTCCAGACAGACACCTCGTCTTTCAGACAGACACATTGCCTGTCGTGGTCCAATTGCCCAGCAGCCACAGCAAGTTGTCTGCTATGAGCCCTGCACTGAGGTTTGGGAGTATGTACGTGACGGTATAAGCCAAAGGCATCGAAGCAGGTCCATGATATAGCTTTGCGTTTACAGCTCAAGGTCACTCAAGTCCATGCTTGCGTGTAACACATCTAACCCAGTCCGGTGTAACATGGGAACGTGGCGAATTGCATTGCTTTATATTATTCTCTGGAGTTATTCAAAGGCTGAAGGAGGCATGGCAAGTTGGGCAAATCCTGAACCTCTGACCACTTCATTTTGTGTTTTTGTTCAAACTTCCTAGAAGACGAGGAGGCTACTTTAGAAAACTAGCATTCGACAACATCTATAACGGGGTACAATAAAATACAGCAAAACAAACTTAAAGCGGTAAAGAAAGCCACGTGTATATATAGCACTCTTTATGGACGAAAAAAAACGTGGGTCAACAATTTGCACAAATGTGAGCTTTGAAAAGTTGTTACCAAGTATTTGGTTTAATCTTACCTGGACGAATGAAGGAATAATTAGGTATGCTAGCAGGCATAAGGCATTCAGCTCTGCTTCGTACCAAATGCTACAGACATATAAAATGAGGACATCTGACATCCTCACAGTAGACTGCTTAAGACCCTGCGTGCACAGGCAGTGGTCCTGCCAATGTCCCACTTCTAGCCACTTCGGGCTGACTTGTTGACAGTCATGGCCACGAGTTTTGGGGGCTCATCCTAGAGATGCTTAACAATCCACGCTCTGGCCCAATACAAAGGAGGGCTTGCGCTGGAAGAAAAAAAAACTTGATAACCCATATTTTTTAAGGAAATGTATGCTAGCTTCATATACCTCACAGTCAACCTGATTGTTATTTTATTGTATCATCTCCGCACAGGTGGAAAGTTCAATGAACTTAAGAATCCATTTGTTTCATCCACGACGTCCTCCTGCTCTCTACAAAAGCCTACTTTCTGGTAAATTCGATTTTGTCGATTATCAAGCTTTTCCAGGGTACCAAACAAAATCAACTCGCCAGGTGACACCACAAACACAAGTCCTGTTGGTGATTATTCAACGAGAAGCCGGAGCTAAATGTGGAGGTACAGAAAGTGTTGTATAAAAACAACTGTCTCGATTATTACGTATAAAAAAAAAACATTTTTTAAAGAAATTACTATTGCTCAAATATGCTATTGTATACAGTTACGCTTTCTCTCGGATAGGCTCAGTGATGCCATCACCAAAGTGGTCACAGCACGACGCTGGCTACTGCGGATCTTTACCATTCCAATCGAAGCCAAATGCCCGGTAAATTGTATGAGGTATTAAGCGCCTCGCGTTACGTTGAACTTCGGGACACTCGTGTCCACGTGGGTGATGGCGCTCACCCAGGAGTCTCTCGACAATGATCGCCCATAGAGATAGGCCAGGCTGCGACGCTGGCGTGCCCTGCCAGACACGGGCGTCACTGCCACCCGCGGCGTGCCACAGGCCCAATCCATAACTCACCTTAAACACGAGCCTCGTGTAACTGTGGCTTCCGAATGTCACGCATCGCTTGCACAACCATTAATAACGTTAAAAAAATACTATTTTCAATTTGTGGATCAAATTTTGTTAAGCAATTGGTCCAACTTTCAAAACAGTAGCAACATTATGATGAAACGAGTCCTGAGACTCGGTGAGGCTTTCCTGCGCAAGATTTATTATTATTATTATTAACTATCTCGACAATGTGGCTGCACGTATGGGGCTTAATTCCCAAACAAGTGGTTGGGAGGAGATGACGAGGTGGAGACATAAGGGACACATGATGGAGACGCAGGAGAGAAGGTCGCAAGGGAGTATTTCGAACTGGTAGGTGCGCATAGGTGAGCGCAGGGTGGCTGGGTGGGTAGGTAGGCGAGGAGCCGGAGTGTGGTCGGTGAGTTGGGTAGCGATAGGCCCCCGCCTCAGTTGCGCGGCTGCTGGTTGAACTCCTTGCAGATGTTGCTAATGATCTGCGGCACCACCTTGTACACAGCCTCGAAGTCGTCCACGAAGAACATGTGCTCGACGTGCGGTTCGGAAGCCATGAACTGCAGCTCCTCGCGAGCCGCCCACGCGATCCCAATCGAGTAGCCGATGATACCTGCAAGCGCACAGGGGATGCGCACAGGTGCACAGGTGTATCACCAACCTGGCTACCTGGCTTACACGCATGCAATATAATCACACTTTAGTTTCGTTAAATGTCCCTGTGTTTTGGAAACAAGGGTTGGTGTATCACGTGCAGATTTATGAAACACAAAAATATTGCTGGGCTATGGCAGCATTGGCATCACGTGGAGTGTGAACCTGGGTGGGTTCTCTCTGAGTATTCCAGTTTCCTCCCACATGTAAAACACTTCTTATACTTGAATTGGAGAAAATCTCAACGAATGAACACCACCCCCTCTGCATCAAGGCACTACAAAGATAAACATCTCCGTATAGCCTAAACAGAATTTTGGGCTAAGTGCTGTTAGCGATTTCCTATGAAGGCCAGGGTGGGTAGCCAGAACCACGCCTGGTCATCTTTGTCTCCCTAATGGTAACGTTTGCACACCGCACCAGGTACTCATTTGAGGCTGAGTCGACCAAGGACAGGCCCAGGTCCACTTCAGATAATCGTCACTGGTGTTGGCCGTGAGCGGGAATCGAACTCGGATTGCCGGGTTCTTAGCGCAACGAGCCAACGGCGAGACTACCTCTCACTGCAGGGACCAGCATAGGCACATACCTACACACAAGACAAAGATCCCTCGTATAGACTTAATATAATTTTGGGGCAAGTGCTATTCGCAAGCACCTTTGAAAGCCGACAAGGCACGCACGCATGCACACACCCACGCTCCTCACCTTGACTGTGCGCGGTGCTGGAGGGGCCCCTGACATCATCGTACGAGCGCCCATCCGTGATGATGATGAGGATCTTGCGCTTGTTGGGCTTCGAGGTGGAAAAGAGGTTGGCGATGGTGTAGCTGATGGCGGCACCGGTGCTGGTGCCGCCGTTCCAGTAGTTAACGCGCCGCACGGCCGCCACTACGTCGGCCTTGGTGGAGTGGTCGGCGAAGGCGAACTCGGTACGCTGCTCGTAGGTGTACTGCACCAGGCCGATGCGCGTCGCCGTGTCAGAGATGTCGAAGGCCTGCGAGATGTTGGCCACGAACTCGAGCACCGTGCGGAAGTTGTTGTAGCCCACGGAGCTGGAGCCGTCTACCACGAAGGCGATGTCGGCCGAGTTGAGGCACGTCTTACTGCACAGCAGCTGGTCCGTGTCGCACACGCGCTCCACCAGCGGGTTTACAAAGTCGTGCACCGCGAACCAGCTCGGCACCGAGAATGAGAAGAAGCCGCTCGTCCGACAAACGGTCTAATATAGGGGGGCAGGAGTGGGGGGGGGGGGGCGAAATCAAGGGGTCAGGGGTCAAGACCAGAGTCAAAGTTAAGGGTCGTGGTCAAAGGTGTGAATTTAGGTATTCATTGGATTTGGGGTAGGGACTAAGACTGGGGATAGAGTTGAAGATGGGGTGAGAGTTTACATGAGGGATAGGGGTTGAGGTCAAATGTATGAATTGAGAAGTGTTTGATTCAAGTCCAGGGTCACAGTTTGAGTCAGAGTTGACCACGGGACTAGGGCTGGAGTCAAGAGTTGTTGTGCATTGAAGTTGAATGGGTGCATTTGAAGACACCACGTGCTACTATATCCAGCCACAATGTAGTTTTCATCCATTAATTTTCCCAATTATTCATTGCGTTATTCACTATATATCTCTATGTATTTAGAATATGGTGTGCACCAGAGTGATAAACTGAACCCCCTTCATGCCACCAGATCACCACCCACTTACAACTGGGGATAGAGATCAAAGGAAAGCCTAATTTATCTAAAATCCACCACATCACAGATGTTAAACGTAAACAGCCAATAAGGATAAAAACCGTAGTTTGGTTGAGAATCAGGATGCACGCCCGTGCACTTGGACGCGCTTTACTAGGCTCTGGGCCTAGTCCGCAAGGCCCTGGGATATGTCCACGGAATTGTTGAAGATAAACAATTATTAATGTAAACCCTATACTTTTTCGCCGCGTTGTGCTCCGTGAAAAAAAATTCGAGGGTTGACAGTCGACGACGGCCCCGGGAAGGTCGGGAGCCACTGCTCTAGGGTCAAAGGTCGAGTGAGGCGAGCGCAGGCCGAGGATCGCACCTGGTTGACGTAGTCGGGCTCGGGCAGGAGGCGCTTCTCCTCGCTGCTCGCCTCCTCCACGGTCACCATGAAGATGTTGATGCCGGACTCTCGCGAGAGGCGCGCCGCGTCGCCCAGCTTGTCCGTGGGCCACCCGTCCAGCAGCACCACCACCACGTTGGGCGCGCGCCCGCGGTTGCCGTTTTCATCCAAGAAGACCGTGTCAAAGACCTCGCGAAGCCCGCGGCCTGTGTGAGGGCGAACCCGGCAGATGGGTTACGTCGAGGGCGTACGTGGGCATACAGTGCTTCCTGTCTCTCTATTTGTCTACCTCCCTCTGCCTATCCACCTACCAATGCCTCCGTCTCTTTGTCGCTCTGTCTACCTGGTGTATGTTGTACTGATGCTGTGTAATCCATGCTGTCAAATATGAGTTTTAAGGTTTTGCTCGTGTTAACAAAAATTTATCACCATAAAGTGACTTGATAATGAACATTTATAATTTCTTTTCCTGAGAAAGCAACAACGAATCTCAAATCTCTTTTTCTGCAACATGCCACGATCTGAAGTTTGGCCAATTCTATTATTTTGCATGTGGAAGGACATGCAGCATGTTCGCCCTTGCAATCAAAGGTATAACGTGCAACGTTTTGCACAGGTGCGCTCATCAACCCATTTGCCGTACTGCCATATTCAGGCCACCTAGCAACTCAGTGACTTTGGGAGTTTCCAATATCTCTATGATCCACCAACCATTACCTCTGAAGTGCTGGATCACAGACACTTGGGATTACTATAGCATGAGAATGTGACCGCACAATAGGATGCTGTACAATAACAGTTACCGTATTTATATTACTGAGAGGTAGATGCAGTCGATCAAAGGCAGAGGGGAAATAGGACAATCCTGGGCGTCGAACTTAGACAGGAGCTGGCAACCATTAGGAGTTATTTGACATGAATCCTCAATTCAACTGCGAGGTGATGAACACTGTGTGCGGTGGCAGAGCGAATGGGAAGAGTACTGCCCCCTAGTGTGAACCAGTGGTCACTTGAAGGAATCTCACAAGTAGATCTGTGACATCCATTTCCACGGGATGTTCTCCAACATGAAGGCTCGCACTGCTCGGAGACAGTTCCGAACAAATACACCCCGCGCCTCTTGGCATGACGCCGTCCGGATAAGATTCAGGGAAAAAGAAAGACAAACGATAACGTAGCCCGACGAGTGCCCCTCCCCTGGAGCTTAGTTCGCCCTCGCACTCGCTCACCCACGTTGGAGAGGCCACCGCGCTGCGGGATGTTGAGGATGGCGGCCGACGTCTCCTTGGCCGAGTTGTAGCTCTTGAGCGAGAACTCCGTCTTAGATTCGTCCCTTCGGGTTGGGAGTGAGCGCACGGGGAGTGTGCGTGAGAGGTAATGGAGAGCGCGGAGTGAGAGGGCACATTCTGGAGCACGTGTAGCCACGGGCCACCCTGACTAAACCCCTGGACATGAGGAGGGCTGCGACGTGGAGGTGACGATGAGAGGTGCGAGGGTGGTGGTTGTGAGGTGCAGCTCGGGAAAAGCAACTTGTGCAATTGGCCGCAAATGCAAGCGTGCGCTACATCGACATCCACAGACACTCGCCGTATATTGATGCGTCGATTAAAGTCGAATGTTACGCTCATTGCAATAAATAATGTGTGTAACAAATTGTTCATTAAGATTGATTACAATTATATCCAGTGGAGGAAACACTTCCAGGAAGGATGTCCACCACAGAGATGGAACCAAGAGATCGGCTCGTGTGCAGGAGCTTAAAAGGGCTGTTGCATCACGTGGCCGTGAGAGATGATGGCGGCTTGCAGAGGCTTTTATCCACCAGCGGATAGATCATAACTGGTGATGATATGCAACTGACACGAGTATGTAACACTTTGGCCCGCGGAGCAAACTAATTTATAGAAAACGAGAGAACAAATATCGACAAATGAATCGACTCGTGATGTCACATTTATGACACAACTCGCTGGATGGGAGAATCATAATGGGGAGCAGCGTCGATATCCCCCATGGCGGCACCAGTGGTGGAGGTGGCGGTGGTGGCGGCGATGGCACCGGTGTTGGCGGTGGTGGTGCGGCGCGTGCCGTACCCGTACTGCATGATGCCGATGGCGGCTCCCTCTGGGCCCACGCCCAGTGCCTCCGTCACTTTTACCAGGAAGTTCTTCTGGATGGCAAAGCGGCGTTTGCCGATGCTCCAGCTACCGTCGAGGAGGAACACGACGTCCACCTTGCACTCTGCAATCCACATGTACGCACACACAATGCGCACGCACGCAGCAAACGGTTCCACAAAACTTGATCTCCATGGGGACAGAAACCCCGATGCAGAGTTCTGGGTGGGCCTGATTCCAGCAGAGTCCCGAGCGGTAATGGAAAAGAGGAGTGGAGGTGGCACTGTCGCTACCCCCTGCTGAAGACTCAGCCCCCCCCCCCCACCCCCTCTTATAAATCTGAATAGTCAGCTGAGAAAATGTAGGAAAATATTGAAGGGCAGTAGTTTTCCTTCAGAGTTTACAGGTTCGATGAACACCCATTACACCGTCAACATTTGGGATGGAGTGGGCTGGACAAATTGCAACAATTCATGTCCAAGCAACAGGTGTCACAACCTTTATTCAGTTGGATACGCGGCGGGTGAGAGCTCGTCCAGAATGCCCGACAGTCAAAAGCAGATTGTATCGTTCCTCATTCCGTTGCGTGTTCAACGTCTGGTTTGAAAGTTCTGTTTAACCTTTAACTGTGTTGTGCCCAGCCCGAGTTCGCATAATGCCGCCCCCTCTGAACAAGGTCACGCCACGGTGGTGTCGCGTCGACGCGTGCGTGGTGTGGACCGTGGGAAATTAAGGAACGGAGCGGAGCGTCACATACCCGGGTTGCCTCCGCTCACGGCGTGGTTCATGTCGGGAGCCGGGGCCACCCGGTGTCCGCCGGCGGGGACGGCGGTTCGGCTCTGTCCTGCACGGCACTCGCACACGGCCAGGGATGGGTCGTTATGCACTCGCACATCCATCCGGCCAGCCTGCTAGGATGGCTGCGCTCTGCTGCGTTGAACCGCGGTGACCTCTGCGTGTGGGACTCGTCCCGAATCTCGTTGACAGCAGGAGGCGTGCAGTCATCGATTTGACGTAACAAGCAACGTACGTGGCTGGAGATAGCGAAAGTATTCAAGGTTGGCTGGGGACACGCGTATGACTGGGCCAACGTGGTGGGGGGAGGGCTGGACATGGCTGGGCGGGGCAAGAGATCGCATGGCAGGGTGGAAAGAGAGTTGGACTGGGAAGGGCAGGGCAGGGCTCACCGGGTATGCCAGACACCGCAGGCGGAATCCTTGGCGGAGGCCAAACGCCCGTGTCCGTCTGAGCACGTCCTGGGTGAGGGGGGAAAGGAGGACAGAGGATTAAGGGGAAACGTGAAGAGAGGAAGGGATTTGGGGAGACAGGGATTAGGGGGGGGGGATGTATGGGAGATCGGTTAGCGGGCTGAATTACAAACCCGGCGACCCGAGTTCGATTTTCTGCTCACGGCCAAACCAGTGATGATTATCTGAACGCGTCCTGGGCCTCCCCTAGGTTGACTCAGCCTCAAATGAGTACCTGGTGCGGTGTGTAAAACATCACCACTCGGAAGACAAAGGTGGTCGGGCGTGGTGCTGGCCAACCACCCCCTTGTGTGCCGTACCGGCCTTCATAGGTGCTCGCTACCAGCACCTGCCCCAACAGTCTGTTAAGGCTATACGGGGGATCTTTATTTTTTGTGTATGATGGTTTGTGTGTGAATGATGGTGTGTGTGTGTGTGATGGTGTGTGTGTGTGATGCTGAGGGAGGGTGGCGTTTGTGCACCACTGGACAGGTTCCGCAGGATTGGAAGGATGCCCTGTTGGTCCCCCTCTTTAAGAAGGGGGACCGCACAGACTGTAACAACTACAGGGGCATCTCACTCCTTAGTGTGCTGGGAAAGGTCCTGGCAAGGATTATTCAACATCGCCTTGCCAGGCACGCTGAGGAGAGGCTTGCGGAGCCCCAATGCAGTTTCAGGAAAGGGCAGTCCTGCACAGATGCCATATTTTCTGTTCGTCTGCTACAGCAGAGGTGTAGGGAATTCCAGCAAGACCTACATCTCTGCTTTATTGACCTGGTCAAGGCCTATAATACCATCAGTAGGCCTGGGCTCTGGGTTGTTCTTCGTGCTTTTGGAGTACCTGACCCTCTGCTCACGATCATTAAGGACCTTCATGATGGTTAGCGGGCCCGGGTAAAACTACGTGGCCGGGAGTCAGAGCCATTCCCTTTACACCTTGGGGTGCGACAGGGATGTCCTCTGGCTCCCACATTATTTAACATCTATTTTGACCACGTAGTTCGTGAAGCCTTCAATAGCTGTACCGGGGGAATCTCCATATGGTACAGATATAATGGGAGGCTGATCGATGCCCGGGTGCGGTCAAGGGATGGCTCCCTATTGCTCAACGATGTTATTTATGCCGATGATTTGGTAATAGCTGCTCATTCAGAAAAGGAGTTGGAGACGCTGCTGCTGAGACTGGAGCGTGCCACTAAGAGATGGGGCCTTACCATCAGCCCCACCAAAACTAAGCACCTGCCTGGGTATTTTGTACCATCGGACACTCCACCCCCACAACTCCCAATCGGTGATGGGGTAGTTGTGGAGAGAGTGGAGAGTTTCCCATACCTGGGCAGTGTGCTTATGACCGGCTCCAGTTTAACAGCAGAGGTCTCACTCCGAATCAGTCGAGCGGCAATATCTTTTCATCGGTTGCATAACGCTGTGTGGAAGCTACCTGGTCTGTCGCTCCGCACTAAGCTTCAGGTCTTCTCGGCCACGGTCATTCCCTCCCTTCTCTACGCTTGCGAAACGTGGACCTCCCTAATGGAACATCTTCTCCGGTTAGAAACATTTAGGCTAGCCTGCCTACGATCCATCTTGGGTTTAACTAGGCTGGATTGTGTGAGGAGCTCACAAATCCTTGAAAGATCTGGGCAAGGTCCCATCGGTGAGCTCCTCCGGCAGGCAAGGCTGCGTTGGCTGAGTCATGTCGCCCGTATGCCCAGCCACCGCATGCCGAAACAGCTTTTGTTCGGCCGGATCGAGGGGGCTAAACGGGCGCGGCACGGGCTAGAGAAGAGATGGAGTGATGTGGTACAGGAGGACGTGGAGCTGAGTGGACTTGCCGATGACTGGTACCAGCGGTGTCAAGATCGGCCTCTGTGGAGGAGGCTCGTGAAGGATGCTACTGGGCAGTTGGAGGTAGTCGCCCTCCAACAACAACGGAGGGCGGAGGAGCGACGCTCACAACAACGAGCAGAGCGCCGGGTGGCTAAAGCACACCAAGTTGGTACAGTAGGGGTGCATCAGCCAGTCATCTGAGTCAGTCGACTTGTGGCATCTGGGTCTACCCTGTGAACTCCTGCCAGCGGGCGTTCGACACTTCACGTGGCCTCAAGGTGCACATAGCCTGGCACAAGAGTCGTGGAGACGTCACCGCCACTTAGTGGCGAATGGCGGTTGTTGTTGTGTGATGGTGTGTGTGTGTGATGGTGTGTGTGTGTGATGGTGTGTGATGGTGTGTGTGATGGTGTGTGTGTGTGATGGTGTGTGATTGTGTGTGATGGTGTGTGTGTGTGATGGTGTGTGATGGTGTGTGTGTGTGCGATGGTGTGTGATGGTGTGTGAGTGTGATGGTGTGTGTGATGGTGTGTGATGGTGTGTGATGGTGTGTGTGATGGTGTGTGTGTGTGATGGTGTGTGATGGTGTGTGTGTGATGGTGTGTGTGATGGTGTGTGATGGTGTGTGTGATGGTGTGTGATGGTGTGTGTGTGTGATGGTGTGTGTGATGGTGTGTGTGTGTGTGATGGTGTGTGATGGTGTGTGTGTGTGTGTGATGGTGTGTGATGGTGTGTGTGTGTGTGATGGTGTGTGATGGTGTGTGTGATGGTGTGTGTGATGGTGTGTGATGGTGTGTGTGTGTGATGGTGTGTGATGGTGTGTGTGTGTGATGGTGTGTGTGTGATGGTGTGTGTATCCGGCGCTCACCGGGGCTCCCGGCCACCACGGGTCCCCGGGCCTCGTGTCTCGATTCGGCCTCTCCGCGGCTGAGCCCTGGGGGCACGGGGAGACGAGGTTTAGCGACGGGCGCCGACGGTCGTGCTACCACTCCTCCTAGCTCTATTCAACACGTAGTAGTCGGGCTTTCGCGACCAATATCCATAATGCAGGGGGGGGGTTTGGTGTTAGATCGCGTAAATATAAATGTGTCGTTAAACCCGCCACCACCCGACACAGCCAATTAGTAAGGGTTGTCACGTAAACAGAACACGCCAATTAGTTACTAGTTCAGCACACCGGTTTGTTAGAAAGCAAATCCACAACATTTACAATCTGAGTACGACGTTTCGCCAGTAATTACAACGAACGTCATCAGGCGGGCAGCCTACCTCGCGGTTGTCGTGATTGTACTCGGATTTAAATATGGAGATGTGGACACATGTGATCTGTAGCAATAGAATGACTTTCCCCGTCTCATTTCATATTTATAGAGCGCCTTTAGTCATCATTATAATCATTACCAAATGTGATTTATCCACTGCTAGATCCAGGCCGTCCTAAGCCATCAGCCATAACTTACGATCACGTGATACGACCATCAACATGAATAAAGGGGATTATTGTTCTGATGATCACCTTGGATGCCCCTGCAGTGTGGCAATGTTCAAGTGAAGGGACAGTCTACCCATACCCACCCTGCTTCTTGTCTTGTGGCTGTCCGGCACGCATGCCCTGCCTGTAATCTGCAGGCGACAAGCAGAGGACTATGAATCACCCTCGTGTCCCAGCTATTTCTTTCTGTGGCTCAGGCAAAATCGACCAGAAATAAAATACTGTACCATGCAGACCAGAACACACAATTGATATTAAAAAAAAGTTGTTTGTATCACAGGCTGTGTGTGGCACGCATATATATTGGTTGCCATCATCTAGACGTGCAAAGTATGCCGGGACGTCTTTGTCACGCATTAGGTTTCCAAAACACATGTTTTGTGCTGAAAAAATAGTTGCTTTTGGGTTAGATCGTGTAGGTACAATGTAATGTCAGAGGCATAATGTAAATGTTTAATTATATACAATGAAAATGTAACAATGTACCGAAATGCTCTAACCCAGAAGAACTCATTATGAGTCCTAACGTTGGTTGTGAAAGTCGGCGTGTAAAATTAACCTTCCTGTGCACGCTGAGCCCGAGTCCTCATTTCAAATCACGGAACTTCACATCGTCCCCGTGGCCGTCTTTGGCCACAAAAATGTGAACAGCTCTCCGCTGCCGTTCCACAATCCGCTCCCGTCGCGTCGTCTATTGCCGAAATATATTGTTGTAGACAAAACTGACTCTTTTACCGAGAACATCAGGGGCGGGGGGGGGGGTGGTAGGTTCGAAGTGGTGCACACACTCTTCCAGCGTCCTTGGCTATCGGTATCATTGACGGTTGCGTTGATTTTCAACGCCGCTACGCAAATATCTCACTTCCGATGAATTCCCATTGATATTGAGCCTTTCTTTGCACCCCTTCCTCCTCCTCCTCACCCCCACCGTCAAATACTGCGCCTCCTTTGCCTGTTAGTATTCATTGAGGATTCCCCGTACTCGTTCTCTGCGATGTTTACACGTTGTTAGCCCTCGGTTGTTGCTGCTGTGCTCACGCATCACCAGGGAATGTCCCGTGTACAATAGCCGGGCAGCTCACTAAACGGGATCATCATCCGTGTCACAAATCAAATAAAGTGAACACTCGAAACGGTCACCAGGCCACAGCGGGGTTTCGTCCCGCCTTGAAAATACCACTGACGGTTCAAATCGAAGGGCCGCCCTGATTAATGCTGCGGGTGTATTAACCGTAACAATACTACACGCCGCCTGCTGCACGGTAGACATTAAAGATGCTGCGATGTTATTCGCAGGAGAAAGTCGTTCTGTGTGCCGGCGTCATGGTCCAAATTTGCCAGGTTTTAGAACTTGGCTCGGTTGAAATCTGCACAGCAATCATCAACCCCCCCCCCTAGTGCACAAACTTGGCAGGACCCTCGTAAAAGGGAGTCATGAGACTCGGTGAGGCTTTCCTGGGTAAAAAAGCGTTATGTAGTAGTAATAATAATAACAACAATACTCTTTGGGTCTTTCGGTAAAACTTAGCTCGTGACTTTACCGAAAGACCCAAAGAGTATGAATTCCTGCAATCACGAAAGCTTTAAGTCTATAACAACAATGTTTGTGTCGCACGCTGTTGACCACACTGCTGCCTGCACCGATGGGTGGTGAGTGCGGTGGCGTTACACGCCCGCTGGGTCACAAGGTGGCTAAGGAGGTAGCAGGAGAGAGTACAGCAAGTAGGTTCACGACCCTTTCAATGTTATCCCCTCATATTTGTGGTGAGTTTTCTTCGAGTACTCGAGTTTCCTCCCAAATAAAATTACCAAACGTCCCAAAGTCAGGGCCCTCCTCAAAAAAGTGTGAAGGTTCAGTTCGCATTTTCTGGATAAATGTAATTATCATGATGCTGATTATAATTGCTGCTGCATACCGAACTCCACGCCACTAGGGCTCCCCAAACAGCCACAACTCATCATGGTGCTGTATGTACGCGAAACTTCTTTCGCACTGGACGTAGCCAACCGTCATAATCAGGGGTGCGGGGATGGGCAACAAATCACGAAAATAAGTTGTAAAGAAATTCGTTTAAAATCAAGATTTAAAGTGCATAGCTCCAGTGGCTTCCTCAAATCGGAATGGCGGGCGTTCCAGACGGTCGCAGAAACGCACCCGAAAGCGCGCGATGTGGTAACCGTCTTTGTTCGGTGGCGCGCCAAGAGCCGCTGCGATGATGACCGGAGTTCGTGTGATGGTTTATGTTGCTTATGATGTTGCTGAAGGTTGATGCCAACATCGACGATAATGACTATTATGAGAATAATGATTACGATTATGACGTTTACCTGCGTCTGCTTTCTTGCCGTTCGTCTCTCCACTGGGTGAATAAGTACCTGCAGGGTTAGGATCAGGGTCGTGGACGGGGTTACGGGTTGCAGGTTAGGGGGTGCGGTGTTAAGTGGCAATTAGGGGGTTTCTTTGATCGTTTGTTAGTAACGTGGCCGCTGGGTGAGAGTGGTTAGACTGACAGCGTCAAGTGGTAGTGGCCGGCTGGCTTGCCGATGACTCTCAGCTCAAGAGATTCAACACAATGATTAGTGCATGCAGGGCAATTCGGAGGGATCACAGTCTCTTAAGAGCCTCTTATGAGACTGTAATTGCGTGGTTATAAGTTGGGGACGTTAATGCATGCGCGTAACTGTAGATAAATATCGGGCTACATTTTTGTCAAAGTCAATCGAGCCAATCGTTACCGTCATCTTCATCCCTTCATGGTCGGAAAAAGAGAAACCATTTGTACGAGCTCAACGCATTCGTCAATAACTCTGTAGCCTCAAAAGGAAAATATATAACGGACATTCTTCATAGCATGTATATGGTATGAGGAACCATCGCCCGAAACGTCGCCTATGAAATATAGTTTTTTTCTTTTAAGACCACTCTGTTATTGACGAACGTGTTTGAGTTTTATTCTTTTGCTATTGTGCACCACTGCCAACACAGCAGTAGCAAGCATCACCAAATAATTTGCGTGAACTCCATCAGTTGCTGGGAGGGAAGTCGGCACCGCCATGGTAACGTGGAATTCCCACCACTATCCAAAAGCCAAATCGCAGAGATGATTACTCCCCACTGTCTGCTTACATTTGGCACGTGTTCTCTGGCTGCGTTCCGTGACAAATGCATCCGATGCTCAGGCGCGACTTGCGCACGCGAACGCTGCCGCATTTAAATGTAGAGGCACATCCCAGAAAGCAAGCAGCTCTTCTCCTGTATCTGCGTCACGCCTAGACTTTGGGTCCTGGCCTGCCCCGAAATGAGGGTGAAAAGTTTCATTCACAGCGGGGGGGAAAAAAGGACGTTGAAATAACTTTCGGGCACCGTAATTTGACCACCGTAGCTATCGGTGTCACCGCAAGAGTGACATCGATCGCTACGGGTTTGTGCACCCGTAAATCACCACAGTTACTCTGTGGTGAACCTGGTGGGTTTGAGAGGTCTCTTGCCCCCTCACTGTGGTTTTGTGCCTTCGGGTTGAGTTGTGTTGCCCCGTGCTCCCGCTCGCCAGCAGGCGTGTCGGAACGGAGGACCGATTTACCGACTAGCGACCGCGACACGCGTGCGCGGAGCCGTGCGGAACGCGCGTCCATCGCCACTGCTCAAACATTTGCCACGCAAATTGCGTTGCAGAATACGCGGCGCAGCTCGGCCAGGTCGGGGGAGGGCGGAGGTGGGGAGGGGAGGCAGCCTGCGAGGGGGGGGGGAGGTCACACGTCGGACATGAAGTTGGGAGGGAAGGGGGGGGGGTGCGGAGGGGGTCGCCGAGCCACTTACCCGGACGCGCATACAGCCGACCGCTGGCTACGTCGTATCCTGGAAAAAGCAAGCGGCACGGGTTGATGCGGGCAAGCGTGGAGACACAGCGACCCGGTAGCAGCAGCAGCAGAAGCTCTTTCACATGAAGGAAGGTAAACCGGTTCGGCGTGGACATTTCCGACGGATTCTTTGATGTTGAAACGTTTTGCAGGTGGGAAACTTAATTAAGGAGAAATGTCACTCGGGCGGAAAATGTAACCTCAGTTGGCGCTTTGGAGAGTTCGGCCCAAATGAACTGTCAGCAGTTTCCTTATTTGTCCTTATATGTCTCGGGTCGTGTTTATTGTGGATTAATGGGGGCCTCGTAACAATAATTTTCCACTCTCGTGATTTGACGAATTGCCACGATTCGGTGTCACAATTCGATGCACGAATCGACAGCAGTATATTTGTCATTGTTTGGTGAACGTAGCGGCCTCTGATAGCGGCAGGGGTCATACGCCACCATTACGTACAAGGTGCACGAATCGGAAATAATCAATTCTCGCCCGCACGGTTCGATACATAGATCACAAGCACGAGAACCGATTGTAATTAATGGATTACAATGCACGCCGAGTACAAATCCTACAACAACAAAAAACCCCACACAAAAAAACAAGGGCTCAATTGGGCTGAACTCTGAAATGATTCTTAAGCGTGTTAGGTTATCCGTGCCACTTCTCCTTAACGAACCGTTCGCGTGAAGCCAGATTAGAGCGATCTATTTCTCAAAACGTTGCAGATATATAGCCCACCTCAAGTGGGAGTTGGTAGTAGTGTGTGTTTTTGATGGAATTTGCCACAACTGTTGAATGAAGCCGATTTAGACAACCTCATGTGAAACGGGGCTCGTCGGGAGGCTCGCGCGGCATTCCACACGCGCGCAACGGCTTTCGCGGCGAGGCGATGACTTCAAACAACCGGCACGGAACACTTTAAAATCAGGACCCCCTCGAGCTGCGCGAATATTAACTCGTTTTAATCTCGACGACGGGGAGGGGCGGGGGAGGGGCGGGGGCGGGGCAGAGGGCTTCTCTCGGCACCTCCCGCTGTCCTCTCCACAAATCGCGGCAAAAAAAAGAAAAATCGGCATAAACGACCCGATCGATGGAGGGCCTTTCGTTAAGAAGAGGCGTCTCTCTGGACATTGTAAAGTTCGCGTGTAACCGGCACTGGCCCCGCGTGAACGCACAAGGCCTCGTCGTCACACGGCACCTCGGGTGTTCATGGCCAGCACCACGGACAGCTCCCCCGCACCTCTCGGAATCGATAAAAAAAAATCGGCGGAAGCCCCCGGCCGCCGCCTCTGCTCGAATCTCGATTTCAGTTTTTTGGTGTGGGCCACGGCAACAGCTGTAGCTGTTTGAGCAGCTACGAACTGTTATTTACGTAGGGCGCAGAAACGCTGCAAAAAAAATGCTTTAGCACCATGGTCACACACACTGCACAAGTTCATGACGATGATGCCGAAGCATTTTCCGACAGGATTGCAATTTTCAATATTTTTGTTTGTTTACGTTTTAAGGAGGTTAACGAACTAGAATGGACCCCATCGAACAGGATTCCTAGGGTGGACAAAAGCTCTCCGATTTGTTAGTTGCCCGTATGACCACCGCGTGAGAAAAGCCACGACCACGAGCGCAGAGCCCAGGGCTGAGTTTCAAAGCCCCCAGAAGATGGGGCCCAGCTTGGGGAGAGACTATGCTGTTCGTTCTCGCGTCAATGCAGTATCATAGACTCAGACACAGTATCCGATTTCACACCAAGATTAAACGTGTGCAGTATTGTCGAATGTTAGGATGCAATCATCAGCCAACTGAACGCGAGCCATAACAGCACTTGGGTGCCATGGGTCATATACTTCACACGTAGCGGACAGCATTATTTCCCCCAATCTGTAGTCACACCTGTCCATCTACAGCTCGAGGGGCCGGTGTCTGGTTAATTGAGGCCACGTGCAGCCCGGCGAAACATGCGATGCGGTACAAAGGATAACCCCATCCGCCGTGCGTTTCCATTCATACGCGCGTCTCGTTTAAGCATGCCACGTTAACTACTCAGTAACACGCACCGACTACTGCTTTTACTTTATAATGGGCAAGGAAAAATTGCCAACAGATACCCAGTAATAATGCCCTCTTTGTATCCAGCAATGTAGTCTCACCGAGTCTCAGTACTTACGAAGAGGGTCTTGCATTATTAGGGTGTGTGGCCAATTCCAGCCACGAGGGTTTTGGCAATGACAGTCACAGCGTGTTTGCCGGTTAGTTAACGGGGAGGCACGAACAAGCAATTAAGGGGGAGCGTTTTCGGAGTGCTTAAACGACGCTTGAGAATGAATACACAGCGGTGAACGGATCGGTCCTTCACGACCCGGCGTTCACTGAGCAATGTACCATTATCCTGAGCGTCGTTTTGGACATTATTAGTACTGTTGCTTGAATTTTTAAGAGTGTGAAATGTTCAAGGTTATTAGTAAAAACACCGTGTTTGGGAACAGCACACAATGGTGCATCATGGGACTACCGTGTTAATCCAAATTCTGATAAAAAATAGTTTGCCGTTGCTGATTGGAATCGAACATATTTCGGAAAATCAATTGAATTAAAAAAAAAACATCTCCTCTGTTCAAATGTATACTGCTCATCGTCAGATTTTATGTTCGGATGTTCACAATTTTTGAATACGTTTGGGCGATAAGTGGATGACAATAACTTGAATATAATTGCGATGAAAATGTGAATTGCGATCGCGTCTAAACGCGACCGCACGTCAGGACGCTGAGCCTCATGCGCATTGGAAAGGCGGCGATATTTTGGTTAGTAAATTTGGCGGTACGCGTCGCACATACCGGAGAGAAAACGCTCGGGAAACGCGGAGCCACAGGTTTCTAAATATTTGTAAAATTCTTCAACGCATGCATCCTGCCAATCTAGAATGGAAAGGCGAGCAGGAGTTAGGGTTGAGCCTGGTTCCTTGTGTCCGTCACTTTCAACACACATGACATACACAACACACACACACTCCATCTCTCATTCTCGTAAGCTGTACCCCTGGCAGCTACACGAGCACCTATCCAGTAAGGCCGGAATGGAACATGATTTATGGGTGTGATGTGCAGGGTTGCCACCTGACCCGGTTTGACCCAAAATAGTGAGTCAAGTATGTCTGTGCATATGTTGAACTTCTTACGCACCGTACGTGGGAAACCTGTACTCCTATCAGAGGTGCAGGCAGGGATTGATTCGTACAGGAAATCCTGGTGGTGCTATTGCGTTGGACCTTTATTACACAGTTGACCTCGGCCGACTGAGACATATGCACGGCAAAAAGGTGGCAAACACGCGTGATGTGGACATTGTCACTCAACCACGGCCACCTTTGTCTCCCCAGTGCTGCTTTTCCTGATCGCTCCACCGCAAAATTTGACTCATTCTCGGCTGAGTCATTCTGGAGGATTTCCGATTGCAGGTGACATGGGATTGTAGCATCAGTAAATCTGTCTCTCCCCCAAAATACGCCATGTAAACAGTAAAATTGCATAAAATGTACAGCCCTTTGTCAACGCACTGCTGTACACAGAGTATAGTAGTTGACACAGACATGCGCATACATACACGTGCACACGTATGTATATACTGCACATGTAAATGACGTTGCCGCTTCCTCAAGCAGACCATGGTGCAGATCATTTGAATAAAGTAATTAATTTGTGGAATTCTCCATTTTTGGTCGCCGAGATGAGGGAAGAATTTCACTTTAACGTGACACTGGGCTTCGGCCCTTCCTCTTTCTCAGCGACAACACAAATGGATTCCTGCTGTAATTAGTTTATTCAAACGCGCTCACATTGACACGGTATATGCAGCACGCACAGGCGTGTCCACGCAGCACCACGGTGAAGCCGCCACGCGTGCACGGTCGGAGCCTCGCACTCCGTGCGAGCCACGCGTGCGAGGGCGCTGTACTCCCTCCCCTCTCCGTGTGCGCGCGTGTGGATTCTGCGTGTGCCGAGCGCGGGTAAGTGCATTCATTTGCCAGTCGTCTTAGTCGGTTTTAATCCCAAAACACCTGGGTCTGTCCCGTGACCGCCCGCCATCAGAGAGCCTATGATACTTCACGTGGGCCTCAAAGTGCACCAATCCTGGCACAAGCGCTATGGTGACGTTACCTCCACTTAGTGACGAACGGCGGTTGTTGTGTGGGTTCTGTGTCTGTGTGTGTGTTCTCTGGGTGTTTGTTTGCATCGATCCGGTGAGCGTGGGTTTGGTGTGTGTGTGTGTGTTCGCTGTATGCCAGGTGAGTGTACCTGTGTATATGTGTGGCTGTACACGTGTGTGTGTGTGTACACGTGCGTGTGTGTGCATGCACGCGTGTGCGTTCTCCACTCACTGGAGGCTGCTGCACTCTGCTGCTGCTGATGGCTCGCCCTCCCGCCCGCACCTGCACGCAGCCGGTGTGTTAGCGCAGCTTCAGCTGAATACGCGAAGCCAAAGGCCAAAACGGCTGCTGGCTGTCTCTGAGCTGCAAAGCCTGAGCAGGTTTTGCCAGCGTCTCTAAAATATATATTTTTTTAATCGCGAAGGTCACGGTCAGCCGTCCTCCACATTGCCGTCCTGAACGTTCAAAATGAGCCGGTGGGTGACGTGGCCCAGCCAGCAGGGAGCAGCGATTTGCCGCGCCTGTTTCGGAGGGTTCGCGGGATCGAGCTTTTCACGGCCGCTCTGCTTAACATCGCCGATTCGTTAATCGTAAAATACTCTGCGCCGCCTGCTTCGCGAGGGGGACGTTACAGATCCCGTGGCGTCGTTCGAAGAAGAGTAGGCCGTCGTTTGCCAACGCTATGGTCCAAATCTTAAGACAATAATTCGCATGTTACTCGATCGGGAAACACTTCGCCAGTGTCACTCGAGAACATAGCAGGAACCCTCCACGAACAAGGCCTTAAAGACGCTTTGCTGGGTAAACCAGTGTAAAGATGATGATGATAAGAAGAAGAACCGGCCTCAGAGCAGTGAAGTCACTGGGACGCTGCAAGGGCACGCACCCGTCCGTGACGCTAGCGTGCGTTTGATTCTCAACAGGCTCGAGCTCACGTTGGAGGCAGCCCCGCACAAACACCCTGGGTGTGTAGCGACAAGAGCGGAGCAGGCTCTCGCTTTCCTCGGGGTTTCTCTCCCCTTTATCAAGCCACGCCGCATGGAGCCCTCACCTGTGCTGGGCCCCGTGGACTGGCTCAATCGATCACCTTCACCTGCGCAGAGCGGGGAGAGTGGTGGTGGTGGTGGTGGTGGAGGGGGCGACGGAGGAGAGAGGGGAGTGGAGAGACAGCAATGGGGGAGAAAGATAGGGTAGGGGAGAGAAGGCAGAAGAGAGGGAAGAGAGACAGGGGGGAGAATGCGATAATACGAATGAGACGGTGAGTAGAGAGGTAACGAGAGAAGGTAGAAGAGAGGGTAGGAGAGAGAATGTACGGGAAGAGAGATAATCGAAGGATGAGAGAGTAGGTGGAATCGGGAGTAGATGATATAGGGAGGGGGATAAGGAGAGAGTGCAGGACCAAAGCAAAGAAGAGGTCATGAACAGCGATAGGTAGACGAGATAATTTAAGGAGATAATGAGATCATTAAAGAGAGGCGATCACAAAAATAGAGAGAAAAGGCGCACTAACGAGAAAGGGAGATGAGGTTACACCATGTTTGAAGGCGGCACGGTGACAAAAGCTGCCCATTGTGTTCTCGTGCGTGTGTGTGTGTGAGACGGTGCGAAAACGTCACGTGTAAACTTAGCCACGGGGTCATTTACAGAGCAAGCGCAGCGCCCCGCGTGCCTCCACGGCGTGCAGAGCGCTCGGCTCGCAATCGGACGAAGGGGTTCGTAAGTCGAACTCCCGATGTACGGGCGGACTCGGCCCTACATCCCCATCCCCCCACCGGGTCGGCGATAGGGGCAACGTGTGCCCGTGGCTCCTTCGTCCCAAACGCCACGGAACGCTGCAGCAGTACCCCACGTCACTCGCTTACGTCAACAGCGGACAGCAAGGGGAGTTCAGCTCGGGTCGCTGCCTGCGGCTCGGTAGGAGCACAACCTCGCATCGTCCGATCGCAGTCGCGACAACTGCACCAAACATCAATCGTGTCGCGATTCTTCGGCTCCCTCGAGTTTAAATGTAAGGGGTGCTTCGCCTTAGGCTAGCGGAGCTAGCGAGTCGACGCAAACGAGACGGCACAGGTGAAACGATGACAGTCGGACGATGTGAGTGGGCACAGGCGAGACAACACGAAGAAGACAATTTGGAATCGATCGCCGTTCGTCTCGTTCGGGTTGTTTCTCATTCCTGCCGTGTTGCCGTTTGTACTGTGCATCTCATTTGTCTCGTCCGTCTCGTCGTGTACCGCCTCGGTTATTGTCCCGTGTGCTACGGCTGTCCCGCTCCCTCCTGCCTCGTCGTCACCTTCCTACTCACTGGCGCTGTATCCGTAGAGGAGGCTGGAGGAGGTGTCGCGCCCTGTTGCACGGGGACACACAAGGCACAGCATGCGGCACGCACGCACACAGCATGCGATACGCGCACGCACGTGACACATACAAACAGCATGCGACACACACACAAACACACAACATGCGACACGCGCACGCACGTGACACATACAAACAGCATGCAACACACACACAAACACACAGCATGCGACACAAACGCAACATGCGACACACACATACACAACATGCGACACACACACAACATGCGACGCACACGCACAACATGCGACACACACAACATGCGACACACACACACATCATGCGACACACACACACACATCATGCGACACACACAACATGCGACACACACACACACAACATGCGATACACCGTCACAGGCGCTGCAGGGGCCAGTGGCGGCAGTGAGGAGATGCCGCAGTTGGATGAAATGGGGGTGTAGGTCGAGTTGGGGGTGCAGAGGAGTGAGTGTGCAGTTGGAGGGAGGATGCAGTTGGAGAAGGGTGCAGTTGCAAGTAGATCGAGGCGCAGTTAGAGTGGGGCTGTAGTTCGCTTGCGGGGGGGGGGAGGAGGAGGGGCAGTGCAATCGAAAGGGGGTGCAGGTGGGTGCAAGTGGGGTCGGGGGCGCTGCAGGTGGGGTCAGGAGGTGGACGCTGTGGGGGCGAGGGGGCGTGCGAGCACAGCGACGAAGGGCTATGGCGCATCATCATTCATTCTGGGCGTTGATGTTAATTGGTGCTGTGAGCGCTCCTTCCCGGTGTTCACGCTGCATGTCTTTGTGTTCACGCTGCATGTAAGGTGTTCACGCTGCATGTAGTGTGTTCACGCGGCATGTAGTGTGTTCATGCTGTATGTAGTATGTTCATGCTGCATGTAGTATGTTCATGCTACATGTAGTATGTTCATGCTGCATGTAGTGTGTTCATGCTGCATGTAGTATGTTCATGTTGCATGTAGTATGTTCACGCTACATGTAGTATGTTCATGCTGTATGTAGTATGTTCATGCTGTATGTAGTATGTTCATGCTGTATGTAGTATGTTCATGCTGCATGTAGTATGTTCATGCTGCATGTAGTATGTTCATGTTGCATGTAGTATGTTCACGCTACATGTAGTATGTTCATGCTACATGTAGTATGTTCATGCTGTATGTAGTATGTTCATGCTGTATGTAGTGTGTTCATGCTACATGTAGTATGTTCATTCTACGTGTAGTATGTTCATGCTGTATGTAGTATGTTCATGCTGTATGTAGTGTGTTCATGCTACATGTAGTATGTTCATGCTACGTGTAGTATGTTCATGCTGTATGTAGTGTGTTCATGCTACATGTAGTATGTTCATGCTCATTGTGGTATGTTCATGCTACATGTAGTATGTTCATGCTCATTGTGGTATGTTCATGCTGCATGTAGTGTGTTCATGCCACATGTAGTGTGTTCATGCTACATGTAGTGTGTTCATGTTACATGTAGTATGTTCATGCTGCATGTAGTGTGTTCATGCGGCATGTAGTATGTTCATGCTGCATGTAGTATGTTCATGCTCATTGTAGTATGTTCATGCTGCATGTAGTATGTTCATGCTACATGTAGTGTGTTCATGCTACATGTAGTGTGTTCATGTAGTATGTTCATGCTACATGTAGTATGTTCATGTAGTATGTTCATGCTACATGTGGTATGTTCATGCTACATGTGGTATGTTCATGCTACATGTAGTGTGTTCATGCTACATGTAGTGTGTTCATGCTGCATGTAGTATGTTCATGCTACATGTGGTATGTTCATGCTGTATGTAGTGTGTTCATGCTTTATGTAGTATGTTCATGCTGTATGTAGTGTGTTCATGCTGCATGTAGTGTGTTCATGCTTCATGTAGTGTGTTCATGCTACATGTAGTGTGTTCATGCTGTATGTAGTATGTTCATGCTACATGTAGTATGTTCATGTTGCATGTAGTGTGTTCATGCTACATGTAGTATGTTCATGTTGCATGTAGTGTGTTCATGCTGCATGTAGTGTGTTCATGCTGCATGTAGTGTGTTCATGCTGTATGTAGTGTGTTCATGCTACATGTAGTATGTTCATGCTGCATGTAGTGTGTTCATGCTACATGTAGTATGTTCATGCTGCATGTAGTGTGTTCATGCTGCATGTAGTGTGTTCATGCTACATGTAGTATGTTCATGCTGCATGTAGTGTGTTCATGCTGCATGTAGTATGTTCATGCTGTATGTAGTATGTTCATGCTGCATGTAGTATGTTCATGCTAATTGTGGTATGTTCATGCTGTATGTAGTGTGTTCATGCTACATGTAGTGTGTTCATGTTGTATGTAGTATGTTCATGTTGCATGTAGTATGTTCACGCTACATGTAGTATGTTCATGCTACATGTAGTATGTTCATGCTGTATGTAGTATGTTCATGCTGTATGTAGTGTGTTCATGCTACATGTAGTATGTTCATTCTACGTGTAGTATGTTCATGCTGTATGTAGTATGTTCATGCTGTATGTAGTGTGTTCATGCTACATGTAGTATGTTCATGCTACGTGTAGTATGTTCATGCTGTATGTAGTGTGTTCATGCTACATGTAGTATGTTCATGCTCATTGTGGTATGTTCATGCTACATGTAGTATGTTCATGCTCATTGTGGTATGTTCATGCTGCATGTAGTGTGTTCATGCCACATGTAGTGTGTTCATGCTACATGTAGTGTGTTCATGTTACATGTAGTATGTTCATGCTGCATGTAGTGTGTTCATGCGGCATGTAGTATGTTCATGCTGCATGTAGTATGTTCATGCTCATTGTAGTATGTTCATGCTGCATGTAGTATGTTCATGCTACATGTAGTGTGTTCATGCTACATGTAGTGTGTTCATGTAGTATGTTCATGCTACATGTAGTATGTTCATGTAGTATGTTCATGCTACATGTGGTATGTTCATGCTACATGTGGTATGTTCATGCTACATGTAGTGTGTTCATGCTACATGTAGTGTGTTCATGCTGCATGTAGTATGTTCATGCTACATGTGGTATGTTCATGCTGTATGTAGTGTGTTCATGCTTTATGTAGTATGTTCATGCTGCATGTAGTGTGTTCATGCTGTATGTAGTGTGTTCATGCTGCATGTAGTGTGTTCATGCTTCATGTAGTGTGTTCATGCTACATGTAGTGTGTTCATGCTGTATGTAGTATGTTCATGCTACATGTAGTATGTTCATGTTGCATGTAGTGTGTTCATGCTACATGTAGTATGTTCATGTTGCATGTAGTGTGTTCATGCTGCATGTAGTGTGTTCATGCTGCATGTAGTGTGTTCATGCTGTATGTAGTGTGTTCATGCTACATGTAGTATGTTCATGCTGCATGTAGTGTGTTCATGCTACATGTAGTATGTTCATGCTGCATGTAGTGTGTTCATGCTGCATGTAGTGTGTTCATGCTACATGTAGTATGTTCATGCTGCATGTAGTGTGTTCATGCTGCATGTAGTATGTTCATGCTGTATGTAGTATGTTCATGCTGCATGTAGTATGTTCATGCTAATTGTGGTATGTTCATGCTGTATGTAGTGTGTTCATGCTACATGTAGTGTGTTCATGCTGCATGTAGTATGTTCATGCTGCATGTAGTATGTTCATGTTGCATGTAGTGTGTTCATGCTGTATGTAGTATGTTCATGCTGCATGTAGTATGTTCATGTTGCATGTAGTGTGTTCATGCTGCATGTAGTATGTTCATGCTGCATGTAGTATGTTCATGTTGCATGTAGTGTGTTCATGCTGCATGTAGTATGTTCATGTTGCATGTAGTATGTTCATGCTACATGTGGTATGTTCATGTTGTATGTAGTATGTTCATGCTACATGTGGTATGTTCATGCTGCATGTAGTATGTTCATGTTGCATGTAGTGTGTTCATGCTACATGTGGTATGTTCATGTTGTATGTAGTATGTTCATGCTACATGTGGTATGTTCATGCTGCATGTAGTATGTTCATGTTGCATGTAGTATGTTCATGCTGCATGTGGTATGTTCATGCTGCATGTAGTATGTTCATGTTGCATGTAGTGTGTTCATGCTGCATGTAGTATGTTCATGTTGCATGTAGTATGTTCATGCTACATGTGGTATGTTCATGCTGTATGTAGTATGTTCATGCTACATGTAGTATGTTCATGCTACATGTAGTATGTTCATGCTCATTGTGGTATGTTCATGCTACATGTAGTATGTTCATGCTACGTGTAGTATGTTCATGCTGTATGTAGTGTGTTCATGCTACATGTAGTATGTTCATGCTCATTGTGGTATGTTCATGCTACATGTAGTATGTTCATGCTCATTGTGGTATGTTCATGCTGCATGTAGTGTGTTCATGCCACATGTAGTGTGTTCATGCTACATGTAGTGTGTTCATGTTACATGTAGTATGTTCATGCTGCATGTAGTGTGTTCATGCGGCATGTAGTATGTTCATGCTGCATGTAGTATGTTCATGCTCATTGTAGTATGTTCATGCTGCATGTAGTATGTTCATGCTACATGTAGTGTGTTCATGCTACATGTAGTGTGTTCATGTAGTATGTTCATGCTACATGTAGTATGTTCATGTAGTATGTTCATGCTACATGTGGTATGTTCATGCTACATGTGGTATGTTCATGCTACATGTAGTGTGTTCATGCTACATGTAGTGTGTTCATGCTGCATGTAGTATGTTCATGCTACATGTGGTATGTTCATGCTGTATGTAGTGTGTTCATGCTTTATGTAGTATGTTCATGCTGCATGTAGTGTGTTCATGCTGTATGTAGTGTGTTCATGCTGCATGTAGTGTGTTCATGCTTCATGTAGTGTGTTCATGCTACATGTAGTGTGTTCATGCTGTATGTAGTATGTTCATGCTACATGTAGTATGTTCATGTTGCATGTAGTGTGTTCATGCTACATGTAGTATGTTCATGTTGCATGTAGTGTGTTCATGCTGCATGTAGTGTGTTCATGCTGCATGTAGTGTGTTCATGCTGTATGTAGTGTGTTCATGCTACATGTAGTATGTTCATGCTGCATGTAGTGTGTTCATGCTACATGTAGTATGTTCATGCTGCATGTAGTGTGTTCATGCTGCATGTAGTGTGTTCATGCTACATGTAGTATGTTCATGCTGCATGTAGTGTGTTCATGCTGCATGTAGTATGTTCATGCTGTATGTAGTATGTTCATGCTGCATGTAGTATGTTCATGCTAATTGTGGTATGTTCATGCTGTATGTAGTGTGTTCATGCTACATGTAGTGTGTTCATGCTGCATGTAGTATGTTCATGCTGCATGTAGTATGTTCATGTTGCATGTAGTGTGTTCATGCTGTATGTAGTATGTTCATGCTGCATGTAGTATGTTCATGTTGCATGTAGTGTGTTCATGCTGCATGTAGTATGTTCATGCTGCATGTAGTATGTTCATGTTGCATGTAGTGTGTTCATGCTGCATGTAGTATGTTCATGTTGCATGTAGTATGTTCATGCTACATGTGGTATGTTCATGTTGTATGTAGTATGTTCATGCTACATGTGGTATGTTCATGCTGCATGTAGTATGTTCATGTTGCATGTAGTGTGTTCATGCTACATGTGGTATGTTCATGTTGTATGTAGTATGTTCATGCTACATGTGGTATGTTCATGCTGCATGTAGTATGTTCATGTTGCATGTAGTATGTTCATGCTGCATGTGGTATGTTCATGCTGCATGTAGTATGTTCATGTTGCATGTAGTGTGTTCATGCTGCATGTAGTATGTTCATGTTGCATGTAGTATGTTCATGCTACATGTGGTATGTTCATGCTGTATGTAGTATGTTCATGCTACATGTAGTATGTTCATGCTACATGTAGTATGTTCATGTTGTATGTAGTATGTTCATGTTGCATGTAGTATGTTCATGCTACATGTAGTATGTTCATGCTACATGTAGTATGTTCATGTTGTATGTAGTATGTTCATGTTGCATGTAGTGTGTTCATGCTACATGTAGTATGTTCATGCTACATGTAGTATGTTCATGTTGTATGTAGTATGTTCATGTTGCATGTAGTATGTTCATGCTACATGTAGTATGTTCATGCTACATGTAGTATGTTCATGTTGTATGTAGTATGTTCATGCTGTATGTAGTATGTTCATGCTACATGTAGTATGTTCATGCTACATGTAGTATGTTCATGTTGTATGTAGTATGTTCATGTTGCATGTAGTATGTTCATGCTACATGTAGTATGTTCATGCTACATGTAGTATGTTCATGTTGTATGTAGTATGTTCATGTTGCATGTAGTGTGTTCATGCTACATGTAGTATGTTCATGCTACATGTAGTATGTTCATGTTGTATGTAGTATGTTCATGTTGCATGTAGTATGTTCATGCTACATGTAGTATGTTCATGCTACATGTAGTATGTTCATGTTGTATGTAGTATGTTCATGTTGCATGTAGTATGTTCATGCTACATGTAGTATGTTCATGCTACATGTAGTATGTTCATGTTGTATGTAGTATGTTCATGCTACATGTGGTATGTTCATGCTACATGTAGTATGTTCATGCTACATGTAGTATGTTCATGTTGTATGTAGTATGTTCATGTTGCATGTAGTATGTTCATGCTACATGTAGTATTCATAATACATGTAGTATGTTCATGCTACATGTAGTATGTTCATGTTGTATGTAGTATGTTCATGTTGCATGTAGTGTGTTCATGCTACATGTAGTATGTTCATGCTACATGTAGTATGTTCATGTTGCATGTAGTATGTTCATGCTACATGTGGTATGTTCATGCTGTATGTAGTATGTTCATGCTACATGTAGTATGTTCATGCTACATGTAGTATGTTCATGTTGTATGTAGTATGTTCATGTTGCATGTAGTATGTTCATGCTACATGTAGTATGTTCATGCTACATGTAGTATGTTCATGTTGTATGTAGTATGTTCATGTTGCATGTAGTGTGTTCATGCTACATGTAGTATGTTCATGCTACATGTAGTATGTTCATGTTGTATGTAGTATGTTCATGTTGCATGTAGTATGTTCATGCTACATGTAGTATGTTCATGCTACATGTAGTATGTTCATGTTGTATGTAGTATGTTCATGCTGTATGTAGTATGTTCATGCTACATTTAGTATGTTCATGCTACATGTAGTATGTTCATGTTGTATGTAGTATGTTCATGTTGCATGTAGTATGTTCATGCTACATGTAGTATGTTCATGCTACATGTAGTATGTTCATGTTGTATGTAGTATGTTCATGTTGCATGTAGTGTGTTCATGCTACATGTAGTATGTTCATGCTACATGTAGTATGTTCATGTTGTATGTAGTATGTTCATGTTGCATGTAGTATGTTCATGCTACATGTAGTATGTTCATGCTACATGTAGTATGTTCATGTTGTATGTAGTATGTTCATGCTGTATGTAGTATGTTCATGCTACATGTAGTATGTTCATGCTACATGTAGTATGTTCATGTTGTATGTAGTATGTTCATGTTGCATGTAGTGTGTTCATGCTACATGTAGTATGTTCATGCTACATGTAGTATGTTCATGTTGTATGTAGTATGTTCATGTTGCATGTAGTATGTTCATGCTACATGTAGTATGTTCATGCTACATGTAGTATGTTCATGTTGTATGTAGTATGTTCATGCTGTATGTAGTATGTTCATGCTACATGTAGTATGTTCATGTTGCATGTAGTATATTCATGCTACATGTAGTATGTTCATGCTACATGTAGTATGTTCATGTTGTATGTAGTATGTTCATGTTGCATGTAGTGTGTTCATGCTACATGTAGTATGTTCATGCTACATGTAGTATGTTCATGTTGTATGTAGTATGTTCATGTTGCATGTAGTATGTTCATGCTACATGTAGTATGTTCATGCTACATGTAGTATGTTCATGTTGTATGTAGTATGTTCATGCTGTATGTAGTATGTTCATGCTACATGTAGTATGTTCATGCTACATGTAGTATGTTCATGTTGTATGTAGTATGTTCATGTTGCATGTAGTGTGTTCATGCTACATGTAGTATGTTCATGCTACATGTAGTATGTTCATGTTGTATGTAGTATGTTCATGTTGCATGTAGTATGTTCATGCTACATGTAGTATGTTCATGCTACATGTAGTATGTTCATGTTGTATGTAGTATGTTCATGCTGTATGTAGTATGTTCATGCTACATGTAGTATGTTCATGTTGCATGTAGTATATTCATGCTACATGTAGTATGTTCATGCTACATGTAGTATGTTCATGTTGTATGTAGTATGTTCATGCTGTATGTAGTGTGTTCATGCAGGGGGGGTGCAGGGTGCTCACCTGCAGCCGGCGCCCAGGGCACGATGACGTTGTCACGTGACCCGCCTTCCGCCCAGCCCGTGTTGCGGTCTGCGGCCAAGCGTTATGCATGGACGAGCGAGCACGTGCGCATGCACACACATACACACATACATACACACACAGACACACACATACACGTACATACAGACACCACGTACACACATACACACGTACATACACACACAGACACACACATACACACGTACATACACACACAGACACGTACATACACACAGACACACACAGACACGTACATACAGACACCACATACACACGTACATACACACACAGACACACACATACACACGTACATACACACACAGACACACACATACACGTACATACAGACACCACATACACACATACACACGTACATACACACACAGACACACACAGACACGTACATACAGACACCACGTACACACATACACACGTACATACACACACAGACACACGTACATACACACACAGACACGTACATACACACACAGACACACACAGACACGTACATACAGACACCACATACACACATACACACGTACATACAGACGCCACATGCACACATACACACATACATACACACACAGACACGTACATACAGACACCACATACACACATAGACACGTACATACAGACACCACATGCACACATGCACACATACACACGTACATACACACACAGACACACACAGACACGTACATACAGACACCACATACACACATAGACACGTACATACAGACACCATATGCGCACATACACACATACACACGTACATACACACACAGACACACACAGACACGTACATACAGACACCACATACACACATAGACACGTACATACAGACACCACATGCACACATACACACATAGACACGTACATACAGACAACAAAGACAAAAACACGCATACATAGACACATATAGACATACTTTCAGACATACATGCACACTCATTTATACATACATACATACAGACATGCACACACGCACAGACATACACACACACAGTTTTAGCAGCAAGCCGTGCAGAGCCAGACTCTGTGTGAGCTGCACGAGTGGATGTGCTCGGGATGAACACGGTTCACACACGAGTGGCGATACGGGGGGAGACAGACACAGCGAGGCACGGGGAGACACCGAGGGACACAGAGACACATGGGGGAGGGGGAGGAGGGAGGGAGGAGGGAGGGGGAGGAGGGGGGAGGGAGGGGGGAGGGAGGAGGGAGGGGGAGGAGGAGCGGCCTAATATTTCCCCACCCTCCCAGGCCAATGCAGTCCCCTGGAGTCGCACACCGTTGTGGGAGTGCTGCAGCTGGTAGAGCGAGGAGGAAGATGAGGATGAGGAGGGTCCTCCTACCGGCGGCCTGCGGTCAGGGGTCACCACGCGGCGCTCCGGGACGGAGACCCGACCCACGGAGCCTGTGGGTCAGGGTCAAGAATGCGATCAGGTTTTAGAGGAGCGGTCACCGCCTATGTCTCAGGGTCACGAGCAGGTGTAGTGTGTTAGGGGTTAGGGGCTCGTGTGAGGGCGGATGTAGATTGCGGAGTTGGGTCGCATTGGTGGTCAGGGTGAGGCTGCGTGTGACCGTCTAGGCGAGGTTTGTGTTTCGCGCGATGGTTCGTGTAATTGTGAGGGTTGGGTTAGGGTACTGTAAGGGTTAAAGTTGGTTTAAAGGGTCATGGTTATGGACAGGGTTGGGAATTGGGCTAAGGTAAGAGATAGGGCTATGGTTGTGGACAGGGATAAGGTTAGAGAAAGGGCTATGATTATGATTATGGACAGGGTTTGTATTTGGGCTATGGTTATGACAGGGTTAGTGTTGTGGCTATGGTCAAGGTTAGTGTTGTGGCTGGTTATTGTTGTGGCTATGGTCAGGGTTAGTGTTGTGGCTATGGACAGGGTTAGTGTTGTGGCTATGGACAGGGTTAGTGTTGTGGCTATGGACAGGGTTAGTGTTGTGGCTATGGACAGGGTTAGTGTTGTGGCTATGGACAGGGTTAAGTGTTGTGGCTATAGACAGGGTTAAGTGTTGTGGCTATGGACAGGGTTAGTGTTGTGGCTTTGTTCAGGGTTAGTGTTGTGGCTATGGACAGGGTTAGTGTTGTAGCTATGGACAGGGTTAGTGTTGTGGCTATGGACAGGGTTAGTGTTGTGGCTATGGACAGGGTTAGTGTTGTGGCTATTGACAGGGTTAGTGTTGTGGCTATGGACAGGGTTAGTGTTGTGGCTATGGACAGGGTTAGTGTTGTGGCTATGGACAGGGTTAAGTGTTGTGGCTATGGACAGGGTTAAGTGTTGTGGCTATGGACAGGGTTAAGTGTTGTGGCTATGGACAGGGTTAAGTGTTGTGGCTATGGACAGGGTTAAGTGTTGTGGCTATGGACAGGGTTAGTGTTGTGGCTATGGACAGGGTTAGTGTTGTGGCTATGGACAGGGTTAAGTGTTGTGGCTATGGACAGGGTTAGCGTTGTGGCTATGGACAGCGTTAGTGTTGTGGCTATGGACAGGGTTAGTGTTGTGGCTATGGACAGGGTTAGTGTTGTGGCTATGGACAGGGTTAGTGTTGTGGCTTTGTTCAGGGTTAGTGTTGTGGCTATGGACAGGGTTAGTGTTGTGGCTATGGACAGGGTTAGTGTTGTGGCTATGGACAGGGTTAGCGTTGTGGCTATGGACAGGGTTAGCGTTGTGGCTATGGACAGGGTTTGTGTTGGGGCCTTACCGCGTGCTGGCTGTGCTGCCGGGGTCGCGGCCGGGGGCTTGGTCGTCACGGGCCCTTGCGGCGCTTGTGGTTTCCCTGCGCGAAGCGCGACCGCTCGGCACGGTTAATCGCAATCGCAACGAGCGTCGACTACTGCCATTTAAAAACGTGGGCACCGCTCGCGACCGAGTTTTAAGGATGCAACCCCCCCCCCCCCCCCTCCGGTGCCCTGCGTTTGAAACGAGGAGACGACCCCCCTGAAGAACGCATCCCCGCTCCTCCGTAACCAAAGAAGTTCTCTCACCGATCTTCACGGACGACTCCGCAGCCGGGAAGAATTCCAGCTTGGCCCGCTCACCCTTCTTCAGCTTGGCGTCCGACGCTGCCACGCACACAAAAAAAACGTCCTCGAGATTTGTGTTTGTCGCCGTTGTCGTTGTAAAGGTGCCCACTCGTCGACAGCTTACACTTGCCCCAAATGATGTTAATTCGTTGAAAAAAATTACGAACATCAGTTGGTAATGATGCTGATGCCTGGGCAGTGGTGCACCACAAACACGAATAATAATTTTAAAAAAATCAACATGTTCGTCAATTACACCGTGGTCTTAAAATTTAAAAAAATATAAACATATATATGATCGGCGACGTTTTGGCCAATGGTCCGTCATCATAGCACATCAAAGCCAAATCCCCCAATGAATGTGCTATGAAGAAGAGACATTGCCCAAAATGTCGCCCGTTATATATTAGTTTTGTTCAAGAAATTACTGACGGAGGGAGATGGAAGGATGCAGAGGGAGATGGAGGAATACAGAAAGAGATGGAGGGAGGCAGAGTGAGATGGAGGGAGGCTGAGGAAAATAGTTAGAGGTGGAGGGAGATGGTGACAGGTGGAGGGTGATGGAGGGAGGCTGAGGGAGATGGAGGGAGGCTGAGGGAGATGGAGGGTGATGGAGGGAGGCAGAGGGAGAGTTTTCCCACCAGAGAGCGTGAAGGAGCCACTCCACTTGGGCAAGGAGAGCGAGCGAACCCCGTTGGCCACCGAGGCACGGTAGTTCGCCTGCCCTGCCATCTTGCGAACCCGCACCGCGCCGCCCTGGTTCTCCACGGCCCCACTGCGGGACGCGCACAGCCACAGGCACCATCGGCACCCCGACCACCTTTGTCTTCCCGACCACCGTCACCACCCTCGCCACCCCACCCACCCTCTTCCCCTCACCCCACTCGATGACCCGCCAGACCCAGTGGATGAACCCCCCTCCCCCCCCTCTCTGCACCGGTGCCCACCATAACTGTGCTCGTGTGGAATGTGTTTTTGTTGTGATGAATATTTTTAGATATTACTTTTACCATCATCATCATTGTTATTCATGTTGTTGCAGCATCCTGTCACCGGCTGGGTGGCGCGGGGGTTGGAACTCGCAGCGCCGATTCCGATTCCGGAAGGCTACGCATTCACGTCCAATGAATCATCCATCAGTGGCCTGATTGACCGTGGCATGCTTTAATGACTGAATGGATGATTGATTGATTTGCTGGATGACTAATTTTATTGATATAATTGCTCATGTGTTTTTGTTATGGTCGTTTACCCAGGAAAGTCTCGCAGAGTGTCATGACTATTTTGAGGAGGGTCCTGCCACATGTTCACAGTCGGTGGTGGTGATTGCTGTGTGGATTCCGACCGAGTAGTTTGACTCCTTGGCCGATTTATTCCGTAAATAATTCCACTGACTAATTAACCGATTTATGAAATGGACAATTGACTGACTGATCGTCTCATCGACTGATTGACTGATACACTCACGCACTGATCATCGGATTAACTAGAAAAAAACACCTCGCGTTCGTGAATATTGCTGCCGCATTCAAATTGATATGCATAACATATATCAGGCAGTGTTATTGACGGGTGTGTCGAGTTGTTTTGTTATTTGTGCACCACTGCCAACGCAGCAGCAGCAGCATCGCCAAATAGTTTCATTATTTCATTCATTCACTCATTCACCTCGCACTGCCAAGAAAGCCGTGTGGTTGATGGGATGTATACATTACTTTTCATACGTGGAGAGATCGATATGGTGGGGAGCAGGCCTATCAATTCTGCCACCGACCGTCGACTCGTGTGGTGGACAGCTGGTAGAGAGTCCCGCTCACGGCTAACACCGGTGAGGATTATCTGATCCGGTCCTGGGCCTATTCTAGGTCGACTCAGCCTCAAATCAGTACCGGATGCGGTGCATAAAAATCGCCACCTCGGGAGGCAAAGGCGTCCGGACGTGGCTACGGCCAACCACGCCTTTCGTTTTGCCGTTCCGGCCTTCGCGGGTGCTCGCTAGCAGCACTTGCCCCGACGGTCCCTTGAGGGCTACACGGGGAGCTTTGCCTTGTGCATGGCGCGTGTCCCACGGCGGCACCTGTGGATTGCGGCGGCGCAGATGCTGGAGATGGAGGCGTACACGGCGCTGCCCCACACGTTGGCCTTCTTCTCACGGCAGCCGGGCGGGCAGCGCACCACGAACTCGTTCCCCTTCACCTTGGCCGCACGCACGTCGCAGTCTATGAGCGGAGCGGCTGCGGCGGGGGGGAGAGGGCAGGGAGGAGAGAGGGGGCAAAGCGAGAGCGAGAGAGCGACATGGAGTAGGAAGAGAGGGGGGGGGCAGAGAGGGGTTAAGAGAGAGAGTGAAGGGGTAAGGAGAGCAGAGCGAGAAATCTTTTGTTAAATCTTTCATTTAAAAAGGGGGGGGGGGGGGGTTACTTAAAGCAAAGCATTAAAAAAACGAAATGATGAACGAAGCAAAGTGCCGACTACACCGAGCATCTTCTTGTTTTCTCTGATCGTAAAAAAAAGATAGAGGAGTGAGAAGGTGAGCTGGTGAGATGGGCGGGGTGCAGGGAGGAGGAAAAGGAAGGAGACGAGAGAAGAGAGAGGGAGGTGGGAGCGAGAGTGAAAGTGAGAGGGGGTGAGATGAGAGTGGGAGAGCAGAGAGAGAGGAGGGAGAGAGGAGAGTGGGAGAGCAGAGAGAGAGGAGGGAGAGATGAGAGTGGGAGAGTAGAGAGAGAGGAGGGAGAGGCTCCGGCAGTACATATACTAAAATTGGAACGATACAGAGAAGATTAGCATTGCCCCTGCGCAAGGATGACACGCAAATTCGTGAAGCGTTCCATATTTTTTCCCCCTCCACGGGAGCTCTCAGTCGTGCCACTGCATCACCAATGCCGACAAACGAAGGCGGATCACAACCTGTGCCGGCTGGAAGACCTGCCGGAGGTGGCGTTCGCAAATGTAAAGAGGAAGGTGCTCTACTCCTACATGGTCCGGTTCCACCAACAGGACACCCTGAGGAGCCACAAGGACCATGCCTGGAGGAGAGCCCTGCCCTGCGTCTCTCCGGAGAGGCCTCGCTGGAGGCAACTCTACTCCAGCCCGACGTACAATCGCATCGGCGACCTCAGCTGGAGCATCGCCCACGGCACCGTCACCACCAATGCCTCCCTGGCGTGCTTCACCGACACGTCCCCGGAGTGTCGGTTCTGAAGTAAAGTGGAGACGGTGGCACACCAATACGTGGAGTGCAAGAGCCTGGACTCGCTGTTCAAGGTCCTGAGAAACACCCTCCTAAAGTTCAGCCTCCACTTCTCCCCGACGGTACTCATCTTTGGATACCTGAAGGGCGACGGACCCCAACATCTTCAGGGGCTGGTCAACGTGCTCTTTGGCTACGCCAAGCTCGCCATAAACAGGGCGAGGAAGGTAGCCCTGGAGGGGCAACGTCCGGCCAGCAGCCTGGGCATCTTCCGCGCTCTGGTCGGAGCCAGGGTGTGTGGCCGGAGTTCCACCATGCGCGGCTGACCCACGCCGTGCCGGCCTTCAAGGAGCAGTGGGCACTGGAGGAGGCCGTGTGCTCGGTGGCAGATAACGGAGAGCTCTACATGCAGATCTGAGCTACCCGTCGGAGGCCGTTTGACTGTGGGAAGGGCTGCGTGCAGATGCAGCACTTGTCGTAGTTATAAAAAAGAGAGAGTGAGCGAGAGAGAGCGAAATGGAGTAGGAAGCGAGGGAGCAGAGAGAGAGGGGGGGCAGAGAGAGAGGGGGGGTAGAGAGGGGGGTAGAGAGAGAGAGAGGGGGGCAGAGAGGGGGGTAGAGAGAGAGGAGGGGCAGAGAGGGGGGTAGAGAGAGAGGGAAGGGGTAAGGAGAGTAGAAAAAAAGAAGAAAAAAATATTGTATTGGGTCTTTTATTTAAAAGGGGGGGGGGTTTACATAAAGCAAAGCATAAAAAAACAAAAAAACGAAATGATGAACGGAGCAAAGTGCCGACTACACCTAGCATCTTCTTGTTTCCTCTGATCGTAAAAAAAGAGAGAGGAGGGAGAGATGAGAGTGGGAGAGGAGAGAGAGAGGAGGGAGAGATGAGAGAGAGAGGAGGGAGAGATGAGAGAGAGATGAGCGTGTGAGAGTAGAGAGAGGAGGAAGAGAGGAGGGAGAGAGCAGAGAATGAAGTTGGGGGTGGAGAGAAAGGAGACGAGAGTAGAGAAATGGAGGTGGGAGGGAGAGGAGGCAGGAGGGGGGTGGGTGCAGGAAGATGAAGGAGAGAGAAGAGAGGCGAGTTAGGGAGGAGGGTGAAGAGGCAGGGGAGGAAATGAGAGAGGAGAAAATAAGACGCGAGGGAAGAGTGACAGATCGGGTAAGAGAGGGGGGAGCTAATGGGAGGGACGTTCGGGGGAAGAGATGAGTGAGATGAGCGAGGGTAGGGAGCGGAGACGAGTCGGCCGTGCGAGTGATGGGAGCGTGCGAGTGATGGGAGCGAGCGAGTGATGCGAGCGAGTGATGCGAGCGAGGGCTCCTTACACTTGCGGCGGTTCTTCCTTCCTTCCTTGCAGTCAGCAGTGATGGCGAGCATCACGCCTGCAAAATATCATCATCATCCAAAAGCAATCATCGGCATCATTAATAGAACATTATCGTTATGACCTCTTCATCATATTACCATAATCACCCCAAAACCAAGCATCGTTAAAACATTATCACCTTCATAATTATCATCCATCAATGAATTACCAAACAGAATACACCACTCACCATCCGCATCATCGATAAGTAATTATAATCATGATTATTTGTCGACATCATTTATAAACCACCACCACCACGATCCATCATTCGTAAATCGTCGTTCATCATTCATCGTCGTCGTCATCTCACCCAGCACCAGGACGAGGGCCGGGAGCTTCATCCTCGCCCAGACCCGGGCCGGCTCCGAGCGGCGTGGGTGTGGCCTCGCTCTCCGCGGTTGGCTGGCGAGCGGGGATCCGTGTCTCACCTGGGGGACCCCAGCAGCACCGCGCAGCGTCAGCAGCAAGGGGGATCCTAGCCCTCTACTCCCTCCACCCCCCTGCTCCTTCGTGAGCGACCCACGTTACTCGAGGAACCCCCCCCCCCCGTCCTCCACGCGCGCCAGGATTCGACAGCGTTCCTGGAAATTCGAGGGCGCGATGAGTGAGCGGGGCTCATTAACCCGCCCGTTACTCAGCGAAGGGCGCGCACCGATGCAGCGTCGTCACCACCACCACCACCAACCACCTCCACCGCGAAAGCGTGCCTGCTCGGTTCTCCAATCGGGCTGTCGACGGTCTCGACACGGGTTCGCAAGGGAGCTCAACAGGGCCTGGAAGCGCCCCCCCCCCCGAACGAAACGTCTTCATCATGAAGGCCGCTGAGCGCACCCACCCTGGGAGCAGTCGCGGTGATGCACGTTTCAAGCAACGTGGATCCGAACCCTCTCCACGGCGTGCCTCGCATTGCCCTCCCGCAACCACCCCGCTTTGCTTCAATTCCATTATTTCTGAGATTCAATTATCTCGGCGAGAAGCCGACTGCTTGGTGCGGATGTGTGCGGTGTGAGCGAGTGTGTGTGTGCAGTGTGAGTGTGTGTGCAGTGTGTGTGTGCAGTGAGTGTCTGTGCAGTGTGAGCGAGTGTGTGCAGTGTGTGTGTGCAGTGTGTGTGTGTGCAGTGTGTGTGTGCAGTGTGTGTGCAGTGAGTGTCTGTGCAGTGTGAGCGAGTGTGTGTGCAGTGTGTGTGTGCAGTGTGTGTGCAGTGTCAGTGTGTGTGCAGTGTGAGTGTGTGTGAGCGAGTGTGTGTAGTGTGACTGTGTGCAGTGTGACTGTGTGTGTGTGGTGCTCGCTAACAGCACTTACCCCTACAGTCTGTCAAGGCTATACGGGGGATCTTTATCTTTGTGTGTAGTGTGGAGGCTTCGTAGCAAGCATGCCCACGTGTGCCACGCCGTTGTTTGCTAAGCCGGGGGGTGGCTTCTGTCTCGTGTTCGCCTCGTACGTTCAGTTTGCGTTTTGTGGTGTTTCTAGTTTCTTGCCATGCGAAATATTACGAAGATGATGGTGGTGGTAATGCTGTCCGATGGTTGATGATGACTGATCAATCATGATTATTGAGAAAGCATAATGGACTATTGATAATGGCGATAGCTGATGAATGATTACTATTATTAATACTGATAGATTGTGGTCGACGGTTGATGAATGACCACGATGGCTAATGGATGACAACGACGACGATGATTGTCGTTCTTGATGACGATCGCCCTCATCTTTAACGATCGTCCCCTCGCCAAGGACGAATTTCTCGTCTCGATTGTCCCTCACTTGGTTCTAGCCAAAGGTCACCGGTTGACTCACCACGTATCAGCGACCCCTGCCATTAGATAATGACTGTGACGTCACAATACCTCTCTTTCCCTCCCCTCTCAACATCTCTCCTCCTCATTCACCCACGGTCATTGCCTCTCCCCTCCCGAGTGCAATGTCACCCGCCAAAGTTTTATTTTCCATCTCCCGTCACCACCTTCCTCGGAATACTTCCCTGGCCTCGTCCGCCGTGCACACGGCCGCATTTCACACGGCGCTGGGCAAAAAATTACCCGGGGCCTCGTAACCTGAGGCGCCTTTCATTTTCGGTGGGATTTTTTTTTACAAATAATATATAAATATATATAAAGATCTTAATCTGTGTGTCTCAAAAAAATCCTCGAGCGTACCTTCCCGACGAGGTAGAAAGCTGACGTTTGGTACAGAGGTGGCTTTTTGGACGCAAACAGCACGGGAGATCTGAAAATCCGAGATTTCTCATTTTTAAGACCCAAAGTCTCGATTTTGTCCACCCCCCCATGAACATGTTTGTGCGTTTCTTTCAGAAACCGTTAAAAAATATAAGATTTCGGATTTGTACTCTTTGGTTTGATTCGGTAACGTCACGAAAGCAGTCACGAAAGCTTCAAATCTAGAATTTCGGATTTGTTTTCGTTTTATAAAGCCTTAAACAGCAAATAAGGTTAAAGCGATAACCATTGTTGCGTCTCTTTGGGTCTTTCGGTAAAGTCACGTAGATAGAAGAAAAATAATAATAAAAAATCACGACGTTTCGACCGCAACACAACAAATCGTCTTCAGGTGAAAAAATACAGCAGGCGGACTGCTGAGGCAGGAAGAAATAAATATATATTTTTTATTATTTTTCGATCTACGTGACTTTACCGAAAACCCAAAGAGTATGAATTCCTGCAGTCACGAAAGCTTTTCGTCAAGATTGTTCCATCTTTTATTGATTTCGATATATTTCTGATTCAAGCAGTTTTGCAGGAATTTTTTTTATTATTATTATGTTAAAACTGAATAATTCGAAAACGGTAACAAAAAATAGGAGCTTCCCCTAACAGAATATTAAGTTAATATGTTTTTGTTCTTTCCAATAAAAAAGAACGGAATCTTTAAATTGAGTGGTTTAAGAGTTCAATCAAGTCATCAACAATGTTTGTAAAGTCACGTAGAAGGGAAATAATAAAATAATAAAAATAAAACATAATATGATACAGGGCAATAATAAAATAATAAAACCACATTATATAATAATGTTTCATTTTTTAATTTTATTATTTCCCTTCTACGTGACTTTACCGAAAGAACCAAGAATATGAATCCATGCAGTCACGAAAGCTTTAAATCGAAACAATGTATTTTTTGTGGAAAAATACAAATGTTTGGAGCAGTTGTTAGTGTCTGATCGTAGAAGAAAATATTTAAAAAAATTATATCAGGTTACTTATTATATTTATTGAAAACTTTTGCCTGGCGAAAGCTTTATGAACGAGTGGGTATTTACACGCAAATAGCAAGGAGAGGAATTAGAGAGCACGCAGGGCGGGAAATATGGAGAGAGGATCTGTTCGCAAACACAGACGTGAGCCTTCTCTCTCTCTCTCGCTGTGAGGAAGCGTTTCGTGTCACTGGCCTTGTTCAGGAATGGATATGACTTTCTGTATGTTGTGTTTACGTGACTTCTGGTTGTGTGTGTGTGTGAACTTGGAGTGGACTCAACAAAAGACAATCACGGACGTTCGCAACAACGGAAGTCGCACCCTTCCCCTCGCTCACCTACGCACCCCTGCACTCTCACGCTCACACACTGGAACCCACAATCACACACTCACACTCCTCCTCACAACTCACAATCACACACACACACTCCTCCTCACAACCCACAATCACACACTCACACTCCTCCTCACAACCCACAATCACACACTCACACTCCTCACAACCCACAATCACACACTCCTCCTCACAACCCACAATCACACACTCACACTCCTCACAACCCACAATCACACACACACTCCTCCTCACAACCCACAATCACACACACACTCCTCCTCACAACCCACAATCACACACACACTCCTCCTCACAACCCACAATCACACACTCACACTCCTCACAACCCACAATCACACACTCCTCCTCACAACCCACAATCACACACACACACTCCTCCTCACAACCCACAATCACACACTCACACTCCTCCTCACAACTCACAATCACACACTCACACTCCTCCTCACAACCCACAATCACACACTCACACTCCTCCTCACAACCCACAATCACACACTCACACTCCTCACAACCCACAATCACACACTCCTCCTCACAACCCACAATCACACACTCACACTCCTCACAACCCACAATCACACACACACTCCTCCTCACAACCCACAATCACACACACACTCCTCCTCACAACCCACAATCACACACACACACTTCCCCTCACAACCCACAATCACACACTCACACTCCTCCTCACAACCCACAATCACACACACACACACTCCTCCTCACAACCCACAATCACACACACTCACACTCCTCTTCACAACCCACAATCACACACTCACACTCCTCCTCACAACCCACAATCACACACTCACACTCCTCCTCACAACCCACAATCACACACTCACACTCCTCACAACCCACAATCACACACTCACACTCCTCCTCACAACCCACAATCACACACTCCTCCTCACAACCCACAATCACACACTCACACTCCTCCTCACAACCCACAATCACACACTCACACTCCTCCTCACAACCCACAATCACACACACTCACACTCCTTCTCACAACTCACAATCACACTCACACTCCTCCTCACAACCCACAATCACACTCCTCCTCACAACCCACAATCACACACACACACTCCTCCTCACAACCCACAATCACACACTCACACTCCTCCTCACAACCCACAATCACACACGCACACTCCTCCTCACAACCCACAATCACACACACACACTCCTCCTCACAACCCAAAATCACACACTCATACTCCTCCTCACAACCCACAATCACACACACACACACACACTCCTCCTCACAACCCACAATCACACACTCACACTCCTCCTCACAAGGCACAATCACACACACACACACTCCTCCTCACAACCCACAATCACACACACTCACACTCCTCCTCACAACCCACAATCACACACTCACACTCCTCACAACCCACAATCACACACTCACACTCCTCACAACCCACAATCACACACTCACACTCCTCACAACCCACAATCACACACACACACTCCTCACAACCCACAATCACACACTCACACTCCTCCTCACAACCCACAATCACACACTCACACTCCTCACAACCCACAATCACACACTCACACTCCTCACAACCCACAATCACACACACACACTCCTCCTCACAACCCACAATCACACACTCACACTCCTCCTTACAACCCACAAAAGCTTACCCGCCACCTCGCCTTGCACACTGACCCTGTCGCACTCACCCACACTCAAAGACAAAGATCCCCCACATAGCCTTAATAGACTTTTGTGATGTTGGCAGGCGCCTATGAAGGCCGGCGCGGAAACACGAGGGGGTGGGTGGCCAACACAACGCCCGGCCTTCTTTGTCTTCCCAGTGGCGATGTTTACACACTGCGCCAGGTACAGTACTCATTTGAGGCCGAGTCGATAAACTCACACACGCACAGCCCATCGCACCCACCCTCTCACCTTCACCCTCTCACCTTCACCCTCTCACCTTCACCCTCTCACCTTCACCCTCTCACCTTCACCCTCTCACCTTCACCCTCACCCTCTCACCTTCACACTCCCACAAACTCGCACCCACCCACTCACCTTCACACTCCCACAAACTCGCACCCACCCTCTCACATTCACACTCCCACACACTCGCACCCACCTACTCACCTTCACACTCCCACAAACTCGCACCCACCCACTCACCTTCACACTCCCACAAACTCGCACCCACCCTCTCACATTCACACTCCCACCCCTCCGCACCCACCCACTCACCTTCACACTCCCACAAACTCGCACTCACCCTCTCACCTTCACACTCCCACAAACTCGCACCCACCCACTCACCTTCACACTCCCACACACTCGCACCCACCCTCTCTCACCTTCACACTCCCACAAACTCGCACCCACCCACTCACCTTCACACTCCCACCCCTCTGCACCCACCCTCTCTCACCTTCACACTCCCACAAACTCGCACCCACCCTCTCTCACCTTCACACTCCCACAAACTCGCACCCACCCTCTCTCACCTTCACACTCGCACCCCTCCGCACCCACCTTCGTGTGGTATCGCCGCAGCCCGGACCGCCTGTAGATGGCCCTGCTCCTTCCTCCTCCTTGGGCGCTCGCCCCAGGTTCAGCTGCCGCCGCCGGTGCAGTCGCCGCCGCCTCTGGGAAGGCCGGGAAGGCCGCGTTCTGCCGGGCCCTCCCCTGGCCTCCGCCCTGAAATCCCAGAATTTGGAATTAGCAACGCCGAATGTCACTCACGTGCGTGCGCTAATCGACAGCGGCGGTCGGTCTGGGATCTCCCGGTCACAATCGGCTCATTCTCGCCGGCGGGTTTCGAGCAGCAATGCACGCCCCTTTTCGTGACCTAAATACAATCATCACTGGAAAGCTCAACACGTTGGTCAATATGTAACACTGCCTTCAAAGGATATATATAATCAGCAACGTTTTTGGCCAATCAAATTACGTGGCTCTTCACAATAACGGCATATACAATTATGCAGTTATTATGAAGGGCCAATTTTATGTCCTATGAAGAAGGACCATTACCTGAAACGTCGTCCGATATACAGTGAGGAAAAAAGTATTTGATCCCCTGCTGATTTTGTACGTTTGCCCACTGACAAAGAAATGATCAGTCTATAATTTTAATGGTAGGTTTATTTGAACAGTGAGAGACAGAATAACAACAACACAATCCAGAAAAACGCATGTCAAAAATGTTATACATTGATTTGCATTTTAATGCGGGAAATAAGTATTTGACCCTCTCTCAATCAGAAAGATTTCTGGCTCCCAGGTGTCTTTAATACAGGTAACGAGCTGAGATTAGGAGCACACTCTTAAATTGAGTGCTCCTAATCTCAGCTTGTTACCTGTATAAAAGACACCTGTCCACAGAAGCAATCAATCAATCAATCAGATTCCGAACTCTCCACTATGGCCAAGACCAAAGAGCTCTCCTATGATGTCAGGGACAAGATTGTAGACCTACGCAAGGCTGGAATGGGCTACAAGACCATTGCCAAGCAGCTTGGTGAGAAGGTGACAACAGTTTGTGCGATTATTCGCAAATGGAAGAAACACAAAATAACTGTCATTCTCCCTCGGCCTGGGGCTCCATGCAAGATCTCACCTCGTGGAGTTGCAATGTTCATGAGAACTGTGAAGAATCAGCCCAGAACTACACGGGAGGATCTTGTCAATGATCTCAAGGCAACTGGGACCATAGTCACCAAGAAAACAATTGGTAACACACTACGCCGTGAAGGACTGAAATCCGGCAGCGCCCGCAAGGTCCCCCTGCTCAAGAAAGCACATATACATGCCCGTCTGAAGTTAGTTTGCCAATGAACATCTGAATGATTCAGAGGACAACTGGGTGAAAGTGTTGTGGTCAGATGAGACCAAAATGGAGCTCTTTGACATCAACTCAACTCGCCGTGTTTGGAGGAGGAGGAATGCTGCCTATGACCCCAAGAACACCATCCCCACCGTCAAACATGGAGGTGGAAACATTATGCTTTGGGGGTGTTTTTCTACTAAGGGGACAGGACAACTTCACCGCATCAAAGGGACGATGGACGGGGCCATGTACCGTCAAATCTTGGGTGAGAACCTCCTTTCCTCAGCCAGGGCATTGAAAATGGGTCGTGGATGGGTATTCCAGCATGACAATGACTCAAAACATACTGCCAAGGCAATAAAGGGGTGGCTCAAGAAAAAGCACATTAAGGTCCTGGAGTGGCCTAGCGAGTCTCCAGACCTTAATCCCATAGAAAATCTGTGGAGGGAGCTGAAGGTTCGAGTTGCCAAACGTCAGCCTCGAAATCTTAATGACTTGGACAAGATCTGCAAAGAGGAGTGGGACAAAATCCCAACTGAGATGTGTGCAAACCTGGTGGCCAACTACAAGAAACGTCTGACCTCTGTGATTGCCAACAAGGGTTTTGCCATCAAGTACTAAGTCATATTTTGCAGAGGGGTCAAATACTTATTTCCCTCATTAAAATGAAAATCAATTTATAATATTTTGACATGCGTTTTTCTGGATTTTGTTGTTGTTATTCTTTCACTGTTCAAATAAACCTACCATTAAAATGATAGACTGATCATTTCTTTGTCAGTGGGCAAACGTACAAAATCAGCAGGGGATCAAATGCTTTTTTCCCTCACTGTATATGTTCTTCTTTTAACGCCACAAGACTGTGTTGAGTTTGTTTTGTTAATAGTACCTTTTTTGTGCACCACTTCCAATGCAGCAGCAGCATCGCAAACAATCTGTGTTCACTTCCGATCCGTGGAATGTCTTAAACAGTAGCATCAGCAATCGCCACAGTAATCCACGCGCGTTAGCAGCGCAGTCTGTCGCCCCGTGCGTTGTGTACGCGCTTAAAGCGAGGTCTATAAACGGATTACGGGTTTTTTTGCATTTCAGGAATGCAGTTCAATTAGATCGCAAGGATCGTTTAGGGGGTTAGGCGAGGCCTTCATCCAACAGTGGATCGACCACGGCTCGTGATAATTTGCTCATTTATCCAGGAGGGGTACACCGAGTCGTGCGACTCGTTTTCAGCAGGGTCCTGCATTGGATTGATATTTTAAAAGTTTCCATTAATGATGGGGGTCTATGGTGCAAGTGGGAGGGAACCGGAGCACCCGGGCGAAAACTCACGCTGCGCGAGGGGGAAACACTATATCCCCGTAAAAATGTAAACAGATCAGCATTAGTCCACTTGCTGTACTGTCTTCTCCTGGCGAGCCGGGGTATGGCACCACGTCGACGCCCAGGGAGTTTCACAACATTTGTGCGGTGATCCACCAACCCTCGCGTGCTCATCGAGCCAACTTCAGATGTCTTACCAACACACACACACACTACGGTGTACAAGCACGCATACAGCCCTTTTGTCAACACACTGTCGGATAAGTGTTTGCCCACGTCGGTTGGCTACGTATACGGTGCAAAAGAAGTTCAACATACTTAAGTATACTTCCCCACGCTGAGCTCCGCCACTGGCAGAGAACATAGACGTTGAAGCATAGTGCAGTGCAACAATGGACGTTGCCGCACTGCCCCTCTGCGCACAGAGTAGCACCGGTAATTACGGTAGTCAGGGTGCATCAATCAAACGGCCGTCAACAAGATGAGACTTGTGCCGAGCTGCAAAACACAAAGATCCCCCGTCTATCCTTGAGCAGACTGTTGGGGCAAGCGCTGTTAGCGAGAGGCATCTATGAAGGCCGGCACCGTGGCACACGTGGGAGTTTTGGGTGGCCGACAACACGCCGGGCCGCCTTTGTCTCTTGTCCCAGGGGGTGAGGTTCACACACCGCATCGGGTACACGCAGGGCCGGATTTAGGCACGGGGGCTGCAACCCGGGGGGGGGGGGGGCTCCGCCAGCTGGAGGGCCTCCAGAGATTGTGAAAAGTTATTTAATTTGTGAATGCTGAATTTTATTTGTTAGCCTTGTAAAAAAAAGTATTTTTATTTAACGTTCATAATAGAGGTTTTTAAAAAAATATAAAAAATTATGGATGATATCGGTCGCGAAAGCCTACGTTGTTAAACTTCATTTAACTTTGTTTTACTTTTGAAACTATTACTGGGGGGCCTCGCAGTACCTGTAGCCCAGGGGTCTACACAATCTTAATCCTGCCCTGGGTACACGACTCGATCAAGGCCGAGTCGACCTACGCGAGGCCCAGGCCGGTTTCAAATGTTCTCCGCCGTCATTGTTCGTGAGCGGGGAAATCGAACCGAGGGGGGGTCGATTGGTTTCCGCGGCGGTTCGCTGACCGCTGCACCGCCGCTCCCCACGACGACGACTCTAGAAAGAGGGGCCACACTCACCTGCGCGAGGCTCTCCATGGGGGTTCGGGGCGATGTCGCTACAGTGCTTGTGGTTGCGGTGACTCTCAGGGAGAGAGAGAGAGACGGAGGGAGGGAGGGATGGAGAGGCGACCTGTGGCGGGTGTCGTGTGACAGGGTCGGCCAGGCAACTCGTGTAAATGAAGACGAGGTGGATGATACGGAGGAGGGGAGTGAGGGAGGGGGGAGTCTCCACACACGAGGGAACCTCGGGGGTGGTTACACCTGCGTGTCAGGTGCGTTCACGGCCTCGTTTATGTGCTGGTGAAGAAGGGCCATTGCCCGAGACGTCACCTGGTATATACTCTTTCTATTTTAAAGGCAGCGTGATTGACGTGTTGAGTGTTCTTCTTCATATTTAACACCGAGAGCTCTTTGCTTGCTTGCTTGCTAGGAGCGCAAACATCGTTGCGTCGACGATCAATCGATCAACAACACTCATTGTCAGTTGAACACGTCGTAGGAAGTGCAACACTCATTGTGCGTACGATGACGATTCTATTCGGGCGCGTGATGGCAGCAGCAGCAGCAGCAAGTTGTTCAGGAGCCTCGTGCCAATGGCGAGGTCTGCGAACCACGAGGGGAGGGCTTCAGGAGAGAGTTGGCATGTTTTTGCAATTCCTCCTCCATTCACAATGAGCGCGGTCCATGCGATGGCAACCTATTATTATTATTGTGACAGGGGGAGACAGGGGAGCGACTATGCAGGGTGGGGGGGGGGGGTGGTATGTAAGAAGATAAACTAAAATGTTAAGGAAACTTATTCAACAAAAATGAGTCCAACAGTTAACCACGAATGCCAAAAAAAAACATTGTTACGAATGAAACAAATTCACGCAGCGCAAAATATTTTTGCTGACTGACGTGCGCGTGGCAGCAAGATGCGTTCTAACTTAATCGTGAGTGCTGTACCTTTAAATCTCACTGAGACTGTCTCCCCCTTAACCCAAGACACGGCCCAAGTAAAATAATACCTAGACTTATAGGCTATTCATGATTGTATTTGGGTTAAAAACATCCGTGGCTATTGAAGTAAAAGTGAGCCGGGTGAAAGGAGGCCCTTGAGCCCCTGGGTTGTCGGGAACCAACAACCAAACAAGAAGCATCATTTCTTTCGAATTCGGTCCCAAAAAAAAACCACAACCGCCACCCTCAATATTTCAAGAGCCTCAATGCCGTGCGAATGCTCGTCACGAAGCGGTCCTTCGGAGAGAGCCGCGTGCGGCTACGGATCAGCAGGTTGCACCACCAACCAACCGTCTTATCGTTTACATCGCAACATTGCGGAGACGGCGGCTACTCGGGAAAGCCCCCTCCATTCCGTGGGCGATGCAACGGTGG